TGGAAGTCTTGCAATGTAGAGCAAAAGTGAACTGGAGTGGAGAAAACTAGTAGAGAGAGGAGGTATGCTCTCTTGGGTTCATTTTTTTTTTAATTTTTTTTAAAAGATTTTATTTATTTATTTGACACAGAGAGATCACAAGTAGGCAGAGAGGCAGACAGAGGGAGAGGGGGAAGCAGGCTCCCCGCCGAGCAGAGAGCCCGATGTGGGGCTTGATCCCAGGACCCCGAGATCATGACTGAGCTGAAGGCAGAGGCTTAACCCACTGAGTCACCCAGGTGCCCCTCTCTTGGGTTAATTTGTTCTTCTGGTCATTCATCTAAAAATCCTTCATTCATTCACAAAACAAAATCTGCCGTAATAGTTTTCTAAATGTCTAAGGAGTGCTTTTGTGTCTAAAAGGAATGTCCTAGACTTCATTGGTTTTACCATTCGATTTACTAAAGCTTTGATTTTTAGACCTAGGTTTTCTTATAAATCTCCTCTATAAATCAAGAGGTTTTGTATAAATTAAGATGATTCCCACTTGTTATTTGATTAGTACTTTGTTAATTTAGATTGGACAAATTGAGTTTTGACAATTAATATTGTTTGGAAACTTGGATAATTAGGTTTCCTTAAATATTTTAGACTGTGTTCATAAGTTTAACATGCCTGGTTTCCTCAAGTTCTTCAAATATCTGACAGGGTAGACTCACCAGCCTAACAAGCAAAATCTCCTAAGCACTTAACTCTTGCAAACCAAATAAAGTTAAAATGTCATAAATTTGGTTTTCTCAAACTCTGTAATTCTTTTTTACAGGCTGACTCCCAGTCCTTAAACCTTTCATCTTAAAAATCTCAAATTGGAAAGGAGGACTCATTTAAAACTGAAATCAGAGGACTGTTTTTATTTACATTCTTTAATATGCCCCATATTATTTTAAGTATTATAAATATACAGAGATTACCCAGTCATCACAAAGATTTCATCCTGTACTTTATTCATATTATGATTTACTCCCTCAGCTCCCCTCTTTTTAAACCTTCCCAAGGATTTAAAGTCATTTACTCCCAAGAAAGGGCAATACGTCTGTCATCTCCAGTGGGCTCTGAACCATCGTACGGGATCAAGAGCAAGATGCAGGGATGGTCACGTTGTACTCCAGAATGATTGTTCCAAAGCCAGAGCTGGATACACTGTAGTTCTCTCTGCTGTGTCCCCTGTGTCCCTTGAGCTGGAATCTCATTTCACCATGTCGCAAACTCAGATCCTTTGTGTTCCTTTCACATTTCCATTGTAATCCGCTTCTGTAACCCCTTTCGACATTGCTCACCCAGACCTGGGTCAGTGGACTTTGGTGCCCTGGGTAAAGGTTGTACCTAATTGCCTTTGCCACTTGATGGGATGCAGCTAATGTTCTTCCTGCCTGGATGGCTTCTGCATGCTTTCTACATTTTTTCCTGTCTGACTCTTCAGCCACATGTCTGGAGTCATTTTACAAACAAATGGCAGTTCCCCATTTGGTCACACGAGCATACCAAGAGACAGAACCTGAAGGAAACTAGTTTTGAGCAAAAGAAAGGAATTTATTAATTCTCACTTCGAGCCTCCCAGGGATTGCTTCTGTCTTCCCAGGGCCTCAGGTATGGCTGGATAGGGGTGCTCCTGTGACATCCTTCCTCTCAGCTCTGCTTCCCTCTGTGCTGCTCGCTGCCTTCTCGGGCAGGTGAGGATGAAGTGGTCCCTGGAGGTTCAGGCTCCATTTGCATCTCTTCCAGAGTCCCACTCCGTTCTTCTCAGTGTCTCCTGTGTGGTCATACAGGTTGGGGGAGTGCTGTCTTAGGCCAAGTTAAAGAGATCATTCCAGCACTTGACGTCTGTTCAGAAGTTTATGGATGCCGTGAAAATCTAAGAGAGGCACCGAAGAGCCAGTGTCTAGCCCACGTTCCCTTGTTGGGGCAGCATTGTTATCACAGGCATCTCCTCCAACGACTTCACCTTCCAGTCCCATGTTGGAACACACTTCCTCTGATCTTGGTGGCTCGGGATCACTTACACCCTGAATCTGGGGGAAAGGCCAAGTTTGAAGTAACTGATTTTTACATCCAGACAGACTTGCCAGTATCCCAAAAGATCCAGAAGGGAAGGGGACATGGCTGGTTCTCCATAGACAGGGTTTCTGGCACAAAGACCACTCTTGCTCAGCCCGGACTGCCCTTGGTGTCCCTGCGCCTTCATCCTCATCCCTGGGGTCCCCACACCCACCTTCCCTGGCGGCAGTCACTGGTTTCTCCCTCTCTGGGCCGGCTCAGTCAGGGTAGCTCCGAGATGCTCCGGGCACCAATGTGGGAAGCAGCTTATGTCCAATAACGGCCCCATGCCCCACTGGCATAACAGCTTGGTGTTGAAAGGCCATACGGGAGGAGGGAGTACAATTTCAAAGCGAAAACTCCGGGCCTTGCATTCATGGGCATCTGTTACTAACTTCCCGCCTTCTCCCTGCCAGACACACTCCTCCCTTCAATCCTCTTTCTTCTTCACTGGATTATAGGAAGTTGTAGATATATTAAACAGCTAACCTCAGAGAGCAGATGCAATTAAAGACTCCTGTGGTCTTTTATTTATTTATTTATTTATTTAGTCTTGATCATCTTGAGAGCCGATCTGGGCCCTTTTTCATCTGTTAGGTCCTGCTCCCTCCAGCAGAGCCACATGGTTGCCAGCCTCGGGCTGTCATCCACGTGTTCCCCATAAAGAAACTGAGGCTTCGGTGTTATGACTTGTCAAAGAATGAGCTGGGGGGGGAGGAGGCTGAGTTCAGAGTCCACAGCTGGTGGCAACTTGCTGTTGGAGCTTGTCCTGTCTGTCCGCTGAGTGGAGTTCAGCCCTGAAGGGTTGGATAAGCATGAACTGTGCGCCTGCAGGTTGAGGGGACGTGGCTCACCAAGGGGCGAGGTTGACGCCTGGCGCTGGAGGTGGGAGTGTGGACACGGCCCGTGGGTAAGACCTTCTAAGCCTCTGCTTCTCCTGAGACCATGAGCCGTGTCCCGCCGTTCTGGTGTGCGCTGAAAGCTGATATAGCAGAAAGCCATTTGGCATCACAGTAAAGAAGGTGGTTCTGGAGTCAGAAGGGCTGGATCCAGGTCCTGGTCCATCTTTTGCTGGCTGTTTGGTATAATGCAACCTTGCCTGCCTTTCTTTCTTTTTTCTTTTAAAGATTTTATTTTGGGGCACCTAGGTGGCTCAGTCGTTAAGTGTCTGCCTTCAGCTCAGGTCATGATTCTGGGATCCTGGGATCAAGCCCTGCATCGCGCTCCCTGCTTGGTGGGAAGCCTCTCCCTCTCCCACTTCCCCTGGTTTCATTCCTGCTCTCCCTCTCTCTCTCTCTCTCTCTCTCTCTCTCTCTGTCAAATAAATAAATAAATAAAATCTTTAAAAAAAATAAAGATCTTATTTTAGAGAGAGAGCACGCACGTGAGTGAGGTGGGGCGGAGAGCAGAGGAGAGGGGGAAATAGTCTCAATCTGACTCTGTTCTGAGTGCGGAGCCCGACCCTGAGCTCGATCCCATGACCCTAAGACTGCAGCCTGAGCTCACACAAGAGTCAGGTGCCCAACCCACTGAGCCACCCAGGCACCCCACCTTTCTTACCTTTCTAAGCCTCGGTGCCTCTACCTGCACAATAGGAGAACAAGAGTACTTACTTTTCCACTCGATCAAGTAGATCAGGTTATATTTGTACTGGAAGCTTACTTTGTAGTTTACTCGACTTCTCACTCCCACGAGTTTAAATCCACGAGTATTTCCTGAGCACCTGCTCTATACCCACCACCCTGCAACCAAACAGGAGAGAATGCAGCAGGCTTGGTTGGGGTGTGGGAGGTGGGAATCGTAGGTACGGGGACGAGGGGAGTCCCAGTCTCATGTCTGGGAAGAGGGACAACAAATGTAGAGTCTTGAACACAAGACCCCTGTTGGCATAGAAGGGACAAGAGCCCATGGGATGAGAACCAGGAGGGATGAAGAGGCGGGCACGAGGCAGGACTGGAGAGGGAGGCTGGATCGGAGGCTCGTGGTCACTTCAAGTTTGGGCTTTAAGTGCCTAAGAAGCCCATGGAGGGTATTAAGCAGTGGATCCATAGGGTGTGATTCATGTTTCAGAAAGATAGTCCTGGCTGCTGTGAGGAGAACAGATTGTTAGGGAGAAGTGGGGCATGGGACTCAGTGGCTTCTTGGCGGTCGCCCAGGCAGAGCTGAGACCAGCTGGAAGTGCGGGGCAGCAGAAGTGGAGGGCTGGGCACGTGGGGAGACGTTTGGCAGGTAGACGTGGTAGGACCAGGAGATGGGTTAAAAGTCTTGGTGGCAGTGGGAGACGATGAGGAGAAAGAAGAACCGTTGCTTGGAGACTGGACTTGAGCGGCTGGGGGTGGCCTTGGTGGATTTGTGGTTTGGGAAATGGACTCTGTTTTAGATGTATCCTGGGATGCTATTAGAGTTAGAAGTGCTAATAGAATTGACAGGTTTCTGCTGACTTCTGAGACTTTTCTTCCCCTGGCATTTGACTCCAGGAGTAGAGTCCAGAGCCTTCGTAGAGCACCCCATGTTTGCCTTCTGACCCCCCGGGAGAGTGCCGCTCTTGACACTCTCTGCCTCCAACAATAGTCCCCAAGCCCACCGCTCATCCTCTGCCGCTGGGTCTGGGAAGTAGCCATTCGCTTCTGCAGAGTTCCCAGGATGGACTTGAGGACGGGGGAGGAGGCAGGGAGCATCTTCAGCCACCTCTGCCCAACCACCCTCCATGTGGGGGAAGGTCCGTCTCCGCCACTTCGCCCAGCTCCCAGTCCAGAACAGCAAGGATAGACGGTGTCCTGGAGATGAGTGTTGTGAGAGGCAAGAAGAGCTTCGTCTGGGGCTTTATGCTGCAGGCACCTTCGGGGCTGGTATGCACTTGTCTGTATTGTTGGCCTGAGCTGACCCAGCGTGAGGTTTTGGTGCTCAGGATGTGTTTGTCTCAGCAGCTGGGATGACAGCAGCTCCGTCAGCAGCGGGATCAGTGACACCATAGACAACCTCAGCACCGATGACATCAACACCAGCTCCTCCATCAGTTCCTACGCCAACACACCTGCCTCCTCTCGAAAAAACCTGGATGTGCAGGTAAGCGATGGGCTCCTCCAGCAGCCCCTGCCTCCTCTCGAAAAAACCTGGATGTGCAGGTAAGCGATGGGCTCCTCCAGCAGCCCCTGCCAGCAGGGAGCCTTGGGCTTGAGGACCAGGGGGGCCATCTGGGGTGAGCAGGATCCCCAGGTCCATGAGATGAGGCCTGATCACGTGCTCGCTGCCTGTGCTCGCCTCTCACTAGCCCTGGCCTCCACCTGCAGAGAAAGGAGGTCAGGCAATGGGGGAACTAGAAACAGGAATGGGGAAGCCTCAAGGTTGTCTGTGAAGGTCTTGGTAAAACCATAATTCCTTCCTGGGCTTTCATTTCAGAATCTGCTTTTTGTTGGTTTTTTGTTTTATTTATTTATTTATTTATTTTTAAAGAGGATGCTGGACTCATTTGGTCATTCTTAGTCTGGAGTGTGTGTCCCCTTCTAGCCACAGTGAGCTGCTGCTGTCCAGGGTACATGCTGATCTCTGCAGAGTGATGGGGTGGGACCAAACATTAACAGTCTCGGGCTGGAAGACCAGTATGTCCTGACCAGAGGTTGGGAACTATTGGTCTGAAGGTCACATCCTCATGGTGATATTTGTCCATTGGCTTATGGCATTACTTTTCTTTTAAACCAGGTTTCATGTCAAATTTTATTTGTTTTTAAATATTTTTTTTTATTTATTTGATAGAGCGTACAATCAGGGGGATCAGCAGGGAAAGGGAGAAGCAGGCTCCCACCAAGCAGGGAGCCCAAAGAGGGGCTCGATCCCAGGATCCTGGGATCATGACCTGAGCCAAAGGCAGACACTTAACCGACTAAGCCAATCAGGCACCCCTGATTCCATGTCAAATTTTTAAAATTGTATTCTTTCACATGAAAATGAGATTCTGATTTCTTTCAAAGATCAGAATTTTGCTTTCTTGAGCCTGGATTCTCCACATGGCAACAATCAACAGGTGTCCAAGTGTCTGCCGCTTTGAGACAGGGAGCCCTTGTCCCAGCGTGCTCCAGCTGCTCCTGGCTAGCTGCGCCCTTCAGTATACCTGCCAGACCCCAAGGTGCTGGAGTTTTCAGCCCCTACTTTAAAACTCCGAGACTGGATATCTCTGAGACTGTGTGTCTCCCGATACCGTGCTCCCTTCTGTTTGCTCCAAAGTGGATTCACGTGGATGCTTTCACTCAGCCTCATGGCGCTCCTTTGTGGGCAGAGGGATTGGTTCTAGCAAACCCATTTTACTAGCAGAAAAGTGAGGTGCCATCCTCATAGCCAGTCCCCAAGGTGGGACTGACCGGCTCAAGGACTGGTCAGCTGTGGTGCCACTGGCTTCTGTGGCCTGGGATCTTTTTCATGATGGGTCCCTCCCACTGGTGGGGGCCACTGGCTGCGATGAAGCCACACGAGGGTCTGCTTGGGACACAGTCTCCCAGAGAGGCCTGGGCGAGGGCAGAACTGACACTGCTGTCTTCCCTCACTCCCATCCACACCAGCCTCCTTTCTCTCTTGTTTCTCTGCAAGACAGGAGCTACTTTGGAAATTTCTATGCGTTCAGAGGTTTTTTGTTTGTTTTTGTTTTTTGTTGTTTTTTTTCTTAGAGGACTGGGCTAAATAAAGAACATGTCAGAGTGTGGGAGTACTTGTGTCCCACAGAAATGTGGACATTGACTCCCTGAGGAAATATGTTGGGCGTCGCCTCTGGGATTGCCTGTGACTTCTTGAATTTGCACTTTCTCCGGAATTTCTAGTTATTTTTGAGTGAGAGTTGAATTGCGGCGGTGGTGGTGGTGGTGAAGGAAAAACACTACCCAAATTACAGAGGCACGAGATGTTGGGGGTGAAGATAACAGTCCACATCTTGATCTGCGTGGTAGTCATGAAAGTAGGTTAATTTTATAAAGCCTATTCAGGCTCTATACTTAACATTGGGCATGGAGTATGTGAATGCTATACCTCATTTTACAAAAGGGTGATTTAAAAAAAGAAAAAACCATACATAAGCCACTCTGCTTGAGAGCGATCACTGTTTGATCAGCGATTAGACATAAGTTAGAAACCCAGCCAGCCTGTGTCCCTGCCACTTACCCCTACCAACTTTTTTCGCTTTCCTCGTGGACACGAGTTCCTTTTTTTTCCTGAGAGTCTTTTTTTTTTTTTTTTTTTTTTTTAAGATTTTATTTGTTTATTTGACAGACAGAGATCCCAAGTAGGCAGAGAGAGAAGGGAAATAGGCTTCCCCGATGCGGGGCTCCATCCCAGGACCCTGAGATCATGACCTGAGCCGAAGGCAGAGGCTTTAACCCACTGAGCCACCCAGGCGTCCCTCCTGAGAGTCTTTTTAATCTCAGGGTAACAGTAACAAGCTTTTAGACTCTCCTTAGATACTGAGGTGGAGAACCCAGAGAGGAGAGAGACCGGCAGACAGACAGACAGACAGACAGGTTTGTGGCAGGGAGAAGGTTGTGGAGAGGCTCCGGGAGGGAGGGAGAGATGAATAAATCAATAGGTTTCTCTTTTGTTTACTTTCAAGGTAGGAACAGTCTTGCTTTTAGACGTCAGTTAAGCCAACAAAACACTATCAGAAGAATCTCTTGTCTTTGTTTCCCTCCCACGAAGGTGGGGCGGTCATCTGTTTTCCACACTGATACAGAGTAAACATCAGGGATTTACAAATGATTTCCTATCTGATAGACTCAGCTTTGGTTAAGGGCAGCACCCCCTCCTCTCTGACCAGCTCTTTGCTTTCATCTAGAAAATGTCACATCAGAAAAGGTTCAAGAATATGGCACAAACATGTCTTTTGAGCTGGTGCAGAAGGTTGATTTCAAGGGATAGAAGGAGTTTAATATTCATTGGGTTGGTTTGTTTTTTGTTTTTGCTTTTTTTGATTTTTGTTGTTGTTATTGTTGTTTGCTATAAAACTACCTGAGTTTAATATATTGAGATAAACACTAAGCCAGTAGTTTGTGGAATAAAATAAAGGCAGACTTGCACCAATAGTTACTGAGACTCCCAGGGAGGTGGTTTCTCTGGCATCCCTTTGTTCCTGTGAGGGAGTATCTCCAAATATTTGAATCAGCGTAAATTGCAGCCTCGTCCCCTCCTCCCCTCATCCCACTCTGAGGAAAGCTAAGGGCCATTACTCCTCTCAGAGCGGCACCAGGCAACGGGAAGATGTGTGCTGCCATCATTCCCCAGGGCTCGCTCAGGTTTGTCACAGACTGGTTTCCCCCGATTGAACGGGGAGTACGCAGTGTCCCAGCCGAGGCGGGGAGAGGCAGAAGAAGCAGCCAGCAGCTGGCAGATGGGCCGGGAAAGTAGGCTGAGGACAGGTTGCCTGGCCAGGTTTGCACATCGGAAGAGCTTCTGAGGAAAACTGAAAAGGAAACCCATCCAAGCAACAGGGAAGTCGTGGTCCAGAAGCCTAAGGAGCAGCCTTGTTAGCGGAGCAGATCACAGAGGAGCTGTCCTTGGGAGATAAGAGCCCCCTTTGTCTGTGAGTGACTGTCCTCCTGGAGGATGCTGAGAGGCACCCAGGGTGCCTTCGATGGGACGCACGTGCCCAGGTGTCCGGCCCCAGGTCTCTGATCACGGCTCCCCGGCGGGATAGAGAATCTTCTAGCTTGAGGTCTGATAGCCTTTAGTGGACTTCTGCCATGAGGACTGGTGAGTCTGGGCAGCCAAACCAGGTTGTGGGGTCAGGGAGAAGGGGGTGAGCTCCTGGTCCTAAGGTATCCTCAGAGAAGCTGATCAGCCTCTTCAAGCCTCTGCCTCCTGGTCTGTAAAGTCACAGCAATTAGACTTGTCTCAAAGGAGGAGTGTGGTAGTGACATGGAAATACTTCATCTGAACATGCTCTTGTGGTGTCTCATTCTTGGTAGGTACTCAGGAGTTTCTTTTTTCTTTTTCCTTCTTTCCTTCCTTCCTCTAGATAACCTGTCCCTCTGCCTCCCTCCCTCCATTCATGTCAGTAACGAAAGTTTGGCTGTGTTCTTAATATATCTTGCAATTCATTTTATATTTTGCAGCATTTTATTTTTAGGACAGTGTGTTGGTGGCAGAGGACTTGTGACAAACACCTCTCTCTCCCATGTGATCATTTGTCCATTCATGTCCTTGGTCATTCAGTATTTCCCCTCAGTCTGTGCAAGGTTCCATTCCAGGTGCCAAGATACAAAGAAGCATGTGTCAAATGCCTTTAATTTTCACTGCCTGTGAAGTTTTTAGTATACAAGGGGAAGAAGATAATTCCATGTGAGTTTAATTTTTGCTACTCGAGGGAACAAAATTCTGAGTTCTGTGGCAGGGATTCCTGTCCTGTGTGAGGCCTTGAGTGAGCCTGGAGCTCTTGGCTGTTCTCTGGCCATTGGTCTGGATGTAGGGGTAGGGTTTGGCTGGGGGCAGCCCACCTGCTAGGGGCTGCTGCTTGTGACTTTAGGCAAGTCACTGTCCTTCTTCCCCTCCTGTACTTTGCTGGTCTGTCACATATGGATAATAGGACAAGCTCAGAGGGTTAGATGAGCTAATACTATATGCAGAAGGACACGGGGCCGACCTAAAAGTGGCAGTGATACTACCACTTCTGATGCTGGTCATTACTTCTGTGATGACTGTAGTCGAAACTTGAGCCAGTTCAGCGTCCGGACCTGCAGGGGATGTGGGCAGGAAGAGGGCAGTGTCCTGGCTTCTAGAGGCTTGTGGCCCAAGAGCAGGAAAGACAAGTGCCTTGTTCACCCTCATGCAGAACAAAAATGGAATAAAGACAATCAGGTGCTGGGGGTTTTCAGAGGTGGGAGAGTTGGTAACAAAAGACTGAGTCCCTCCACATTTGGTGACAACTCTGTGCCCTCTAAGACTCCTGTCTCTTGCATCTCCATTTTATACACAGGTCATGACCTTAGACAAGGTAACCTACTCCCTCCAGAGGAGGGAGCACCCAGTACATGAAGTCTGACTCCAAGCCCGCGTTCTCCCCCGCACGTCAGGCCACGTGGCCCACCTTGGTTCCACCTCTCACTCTGCAGATCAGCCTCCCTTCTGTGGGCCCTCAGTGGCCAACCTCCAAAATTGCAGGCCTTCTCCCCACCTGAGTTTGGTTGTTTCCCTACCTACCCTTTGGGATGTTGAATGAGCGAGTGGACTTCCAGGTAGGGACAATAGGAAAATCTTTCCAAAATTAGAAGCTGTTGGAAATGAGAAGAACTGACGAAGGCGTGGAGAGCCAAGGGAAGAACTCAGCTCTTTGTACCTCCCCAGGCGGCTGTCTTGCTACTCTTTACTTGTCAGCTCTGCGAACAGAGAGGCTGGGAATTTTTCTTTTCTTTTCTTTTCTTTTTTTTTTTTTTTTTTTAAGATTTTATTTATTCGGGGCGCCTGGGTGGCTCAGTGGGTTAAGCCGCTGCCTTCGGCTCGGGTCATGGTCTCAGGGTCCTGGGATCGAGCCCCGCATCGGGCTCTCTGCTCAGCAGGGAGCCTGCTTCCTCCTCTCTCTGCCTGCCTCTCTGCCTGCTTGTGATCTCTCTGTCAAATAAAAAAATAAAAACTTTAAAAAAAAAAAAAAGATTTTATTTATTCATTTGAGAGGGAGATTGAGCAAGAGAGCACAAGCTGAGGGGAGAGAGGGAGAAGCAGACTCTCTACCAAGCAGGGATCCCCATGCGGGGCTCGATCCCAGGACTCCAGGAACACGACCTGAGCCAAAGATGGATGCCCAACCGACTGAAACACCCAGGTGCCCCACTTTTTCATCTTTTGATCCCTAGTGATGCTACTACATGATCTGGCACATAAACCAGGAAGGTTTTGTTAAGGAATTGAGAACTTAAAGCCAGTAGAGTGTCCCAGGCCTGCTATGCAGAGTAGTGCTGGGAAGGCTACTGTGCTGGGCCTAGTTGGGGCTGTGATGGTTGGATGTTCTTTCTAGAGGGAAGATCGAAGTCATAGTCCTGGGCCAAGACCATGTGCCTTCTCTCTGTCACTGGGTAAATCAGAGGTCTTGGGGTCGCACCCAGAGGCTAGGCTGGAGCTGCTCTGGGGCTGGAGTTGGGGCACAGCTAGCCAGTATGGAAGGGGAATCTACTTGGTGTAGGTATTATGTGAGGTATGGTGTGAGACATGTGGAACTGTCTCTTGTCCATGGATTTACTCTCCAGGAAGGCAGTGTGGCATAGTGGTTAAAATCTGGCCTCTGCTTTTAGGACTTCCTAGAATCCTTGGATAGCCACTTCCTCACTTGGAAGTGAGTCTTGGGCAGTTTTCTTTTCTACTCTGTGCCTCAGTTTTCATAGGTAAAGTAGTAATATGAACTGTAACTTCCTCATGGATTTTTGTTGAGGATTCAATTAAATGACACATGAGAAGCACCTTGGCCCAGTGCCTAGCACATAATAAGTGCTTAATAAATGTTAATTGTCACTGCTACTACTCTTAGCATCACTACAATCTGATTAGGGAAAATAAGGGATAGGAACGCGTAAAGAATAACTAATAATAACTAATACCCAGATGGTAGTTAAGTGCTAAGTTTTCAGTATTCAGTATTCAGTTTTCAGTATTCAGTATTTCCTGGAATGTGTCAGAATGTACTTGAACATAAGCTCCAGGAAGTTAATGACTTGTACTTGTTCTTATTCATTTACTACAATGGGGTCCCAGGCCCCATAAGTTTGCCTGGTGTATGGTGGCACCCAGGAAATATTCGTGGATTGAGTGCTTCTAAAGGTACTCTCTTTCCTGTCTCAGGACCTTTGCATGTGCTGTTCCCCCCTGCCTGGCATGCTCTTCCCTAAACTCTTCTCAGTAAGTTCCTTCTCACTCTTCAAGGCACTTTTCAAAAAGGCCTGACCACTGTCCCCCATCTTCTTCCTCATCAACTGAATTACATCTGTGTATTTCTATTTCTTACTCCTTGTCCTTTTTCTTATAAAATTTCGTAATTCATCATTACTCATTTATTTGTATTTACTTAGCCCACCTCTGCCTCTTTCCCTGGATCGTAGGCTCCAGAAGGGATGGGACTTAATCTGACACTTGGATCCTCAGACTTTCCATGGCGCCTGGCAGATGGCGGGCTTGGAGGAACTCTGGTTAAAGGAGTCGACTGAAAGTGTTCAGAGGAAGGAACACAGGCTGGAGTAGCTGAGATAAGGAGTGGGTCACTTAAGCCTCAGCTCATCTGTAAAGCTGCGATGAAGGCAAAGCTACGTCTTGTCATGACACTCCTTAACCAGAGAGTGGTTGGGATCGGAGACAGTTTTGTTGAAGGGTGCTGTAGCTTGAAAAGCATGAGTTCATTGGTTCCCTCCTTTACTCATCAAGCCTTGATGCAGCTCCCACTGTGTTCAGAGGCAGGAACACCCTGTCTTTGTCCCTTACCACAGCTGAATGGGGAGCTGCCCACAGCCAGGGCGTGAGTCTTTTGTCTCCCTCCTCCTTCTGGTGCCCGGAGGGAGCTCAGTATATGTTTGAGGCATGACCAAACCAGGAAAGGCACCATCGGGTGGTTGTGATGGAGAACTGGAATTTAGGAAGGATGCAGGGTTGAGGGGAGAGAGAGAGGCTGTGGTGGTGACTGAGAAGTGACTTCAGTGGGGCTTGTTTATGTTCAGCTTTGTCCCATACCACGGTATATCCACAGAGGAAGGCATGGATACCTGTACTATTCTAGGGTGAAAGGCATTAGTTAGGCCAGATTCTTGCTGGGTGATCATTGTGATTTCCTGCCCTAATGGCGTTGCCTACTGTTGGTAGTCAGGTATAGCAAACACAGGCCTTGTCACTCAGTGTGGCCAGCCTAGAGTGTTGCTAACAGCCACCTGCATTCACTGCGCAGTTTCTCCCTCCCGTCATCCCCTCAGACTGGCCATGGCCCCCTAGGGAGGCTCCCAAAGCATTCTGGTTAGCTTTGTGCCTTTTCACTGGGGTGAATCATTAACATCACACTTCTGTCCCCTCCTGGGTTCCATGGCCAGCAGGTCAGGGCTCTTCCAAAGAAAGCTAGCTAATTATAGCCCTTGTCTGAACCAAATCCCACAAGAGGAGCAAAGCAGTGGCATATAAATGGAGCGGGGTGGGAGCTGGCACCCCGGCTCTGGAGGGTTTGTCTCCTCCCAGCCCCTCTGTCTCTCTCTGCTCGGCGTGGAATCAGCAGCCACCCTTGCCTACTCGGTCGGCGTTTGAGGCTGCCGCGCTGTGCTAGGAAAACGACAGAACAAAGGGAAACAGGCCAGGAGGCTGGGTGCCGGATGAAGAGAGGTCTCCGGGGTGAGAAGCGCTTATTGCCAAGCAGCAAAGAGTTGGTGGCTGAATCCTGGCCACGTCTCGGTCTGCTCATGTTTCTCCTCTGTGGGGCTCTGTCCCCCTTTTTCCCCAGCCCCTCCTACTTCTTATTCCCTTCTAGGACATAGTTATATTCTGTACTTTTCCTCGAGCCAAAAAAAAAAAAAAAATCAGGCTTTCTAGCAAGATAACCAGACTGTAAGGGCCCAGACATTTTCTAGTCATCGTCTGTCGTGGTGCTGGCGTTCTCGCTGCGGGCTGAGGGGCTCCCGGCCTGGGATTCTGGAAGGACTCATTCAGCGTCTCATCCACAGACTGACGCTGAGAAGCATTCCCAGGTGGAGAGGGGGTCCCTGTGGTCGGGCGATGACGTCAAGAAGTCCGACGGAGGCTCAGACAGCGGCATAAAGATGGAACCCGGATCCAAGTGGAGGCGGAATCCCTCGGACGTGTCTGACGAGTCTGACAAAAGCACTTCGGGCAAGAAGAGTTCGGTCATCTCGCAGACGGGCTCGTGGCGCCGAGGCATGACCGCGCAGGTGGGCATCACCATGCCGAGGACGAAGGCAGCTGCCCCAGCGGGCACCCTCAAGACCCCCGGAACCGGTGAGTGAGGGGCTGTGCTGTCTCATATCTGCCTTTGTCGTTCTGAAAACCGAAACCCGCAGACACTCGAGCAAGAGCTTCAGTCCCCATCAAGGGCAGCTGTTTCTTCTTTGAGGTTAGATCTGCCAGTGACTAGCTTTCCGGAAGGTTTGCCTCCCTGCATTTTCCCACGTGGAAAGAGGTCCGTGTGTAAGCCTCAAGCTCGGCAGGTGCTTCAGCAGCCGAAGGGGACGGAGTGGGCTTAACCAGGTGCTAGGGAAGAGCCCACACACCCATGTGCAGGCTTTTCAAGGGCGTGAGTTTACAAGCTGCCTTTAGGTCAGGTTCACGTTGCCCGTGATTTAGGGACGTGTGTAAACAGAGTAGTGTGTTTGCAGGAAAGCAGAGATGCCCCCTGAAAATGTTAAGGAGAGCCTTTGAATAGCCAGAGAAGGAAGAAAGGTCAGTAGAAGGCAGGATCTCCTTGCCCAGACATACCAGCGATTGGCCGGCTTTGCTTTGTTCTGGGTAAATGTAGGCTGGTTTGCAAATGAGGAGAGTCACTGACATCTCCTAGAGGGCTCACGGCAACAGTAGTGGGTAGATTATTATCTTTCTAAAGAGCTCTTTCCTTTGCCTCCCAAGGCTACTGCTTTCCCCAAGGAAAAAGTGAACCAGTTCTTTGGCGGAGGGGACGATTGTAAGCAGATGGGTTCTTGGTGTGCACACTAACCTTGCTGCTTTCTCCATTAGGAAAAACAGATGATGCAAAGGTGTCTGAGAAAGGAAGGCTGTCTCCCAAAGCTTCCCAGGTGAAGCGGTCCCCATCAGATGCAGGCCGCAGCAGTGGCGACGAGTCCAAAAAGCCCCTCTCCAGCAGTTCCAGGACCCCCACTGCCAATGCCAACAGTTTTGGGTTCAAGAAGCAGAGCGGCTCGGCCGCTGGGCTGGCCATGATCACAGCCAGTGGGGCTACGGTCACCAGCAGGTCAGCCACACTGGGCAAGATCCCCAAGTCGTCTGCACTTGTCGGCCGGTCCACCGGCCGGAAGACAAGCATGGACGGGCCTCAGAACCAGGACGATGGGTATCTGGCTCTCAGCTCCCGGACCAACTTGCAATACCGGAGTTTGCCAAGGCCCAGTAAGTCCACCAGCCGCAATGGGGCTGGGAACAGGTCTAGCACCAGCAGCATCGATTCCAACATCAGCAGTAAGTCTGCGGGCCTGCCAGTGCCCAAGCTGAGGGAGCCTTCCAAAACGGCCCTGGGCAGCTCTCTGCCGGGCCTGGTCAACCAGACCGATAAGGAGAAAGGCATCTCATCCGACAATGAGAGCGTGGCTTCCTGTAACTCAGTGAAAGTGAACCCAGCCGCCCAGCCTGTGTCCAGTGCGGCGCAGGCGACCCTCCAGCCGGGAGCCAAGTACCCCGATGTGGCCTCTCCCACGCTCCGCAGGTAAGCGGGTCGGTGGTGCTGAGCAGCGCTGGAGTCTGTGGAATGGCATCCTGAGCGAATCATTTTTTGTTCCTTGGTGAAAACAGCTTGTTTCTCCACGTCTGTTTAGTCAGAACCTGCCAGCAGTTTTGTACTCAGCTGATTATTTTCCCATGTGGGGAGGAAAACACCCAAGTGTCTGAATCTGTCATCCTGGGGTCAAATCCTGAGTCTGCTTTCATCAGACACCGTGGGTCCCTTCTTTACCATTTTGTTTCAGTTTCCTCATCTGTAAAATGGGACCGCCTACCTGAGATTGCATGTGAATTTTTTTTTTTTTTAAGATTTTATTTATTTGTCAGAGAGCGAGAGTGAGTACAGGCAGACAGAGTGGCAGGCAGAGTCAGAGGGAGAAGCAGGCTCCCTACCGAGCAAGGAGCCCGATGTGGGACTCGATCCCAGAATGCTGGGATCAGGACGGGAGTCGAAGGCAGCGGCTTAACCAACTGAGCCACCCAGGCGTCCCAGATTGCATGTGAATATTAACCTATGTAGCCATATCTGGCCCATCGTAGGTGCTCAGTCAGAGCTAGCTACCATCCAAGATGAGATCTTAATACACCCTTAGACCCCAGGTGGGCATATGAGGAGAAGGCAAAGGATCTTTTTTCCACCCTTGTCTTATTAATTCTGTGGCTGAGATTCTACAACATTATGCCAGACCGTGAGCTCAGCCAGATCCTTCTCTCAGCTAGCCCAGTATCCTCCCCCCTCCACCACACACATACTTTTTTATACTGCATGCTTAATTCCAAATTTGTTTCTGAAATTCTAGCTTTCTTAAAATAAAAAAAGACAAAAAAGACTTTTTTAAAGCGGAAGTGTTTCTGAAAAAGAGAAATTGATTTCTTATTCCCTTAAAAAGGCATTTTCCCGCATTTCCACACTGAATGGAAATTTTTATGTGAAAATAGTGGTTTTTTTTAAGCAGTTCCTTTTTAAATGTGTACAGCTTTTGCTTGCTCGTATCATCTCATCCTCTCTGCTGAACCGTCCTCAAACTGTTAACGGCATAGGACAGAGCTTATCTTACCTTCCCAGGAAATGGCTTATCCTAGGAAAGAGTCTAAGTCCCAGAGAGAAAATTAAGTAGTGAAAAGTAAAAACTATGTGCACATATTTGGGGGTGAATAGGAATGTTTGAAAAGACTTCAGAAGAAGCCTGCCACGTGAAAAGTGTGATGAAGCAGTTCACTGTTCTTTGTCTAGACTTGATTATTAGAGTTTCAGTAATTGTTTTTTCAAGGGAAGGTCCTATTGGGCTGCTCTTTGTTGTTCTAACAGATTGCCTTGTAAATGAAAATATCCTCTACTTCTTGCCTCAAGTAGTATATGTAATACTCGCTCTTTGGTCTTATAGATTTCCTTTAGTAACTACAAAGGTATTTTACTGGACCCTTAGGCTACTGTTACAGAATACTTGAAAATGCATGCAGATTCTTAGGCTTGACACTGAACAACTTTCAGCCAAATCCTGTTAATTGCATTTTTCCTAAATCATTAGGAGGTGTTCTCAATTTCCTCTTTGTGCCTTAGTGCAGAGAAGAGAAATCTTAGATCCAGTGATCGCACTCTTCAAATGACGGGAGGGACCAGCAGACAAAAGCTTGGGCTTTTTCTGCATAGTTACATCGAGGAGAATTAGGGGCAACAAGCAACAAAGAAGATGCATAGGATTTTGGTTTTCTGGTGATTGAAAGGACTTGACAGTGGAGTGAGTTACCCTTAGAAGTAGGGAGCTTCCTGTTACTGGAAGTATGTAAGCACGCCAAAGCCAAGATTCTACCAGGGGATATCTCATTCTTTGGTTGTCGTCAGGCAAAAAAGTATTTTCTTTTCTTTTTTTTTTTTTAATAAAGATTTTATTTATTTATTTGACAGAGGGAGAGAGATCACAAGTAGGCAGAGAGGCAGGCAGAGAGAGAGAAAGGGGGAAGCAGGCTCCCTGCTGAGCAGAGAGCCTGATGAGAGGCTCAATCCCAGGACCCTGAGATCATGATCTGAGCCAAAGGCAGATGCTTAACCCACTGCGCCACCCAGGTGCCCCAAAAAAGTACTTTCTAATCTGTTACCAGATACCGTAGTGAGGATTAGTTATGTGTGCGTATGTTTGTTTTTATGATAATTGGGATTTATAAGGACTCCCGGGAGAGAACAAAGATGAGACTCCTACCACGGAATAGCTGGGTGCAAGGCGACCTGCCTCTCAAGATAGGTCGTGGTTTTGTCCCTGCAGAGATGCACATTCCAGCAGGGTTTGGTGGATGGAATGACTTGCATTGCTAGAGCATGTCCCCATCCTTGGACTTTAACACTGTTCTGCCATTCTTCACAGAGAGTCCTGTTGCCGGATGAAGAGAGAGACCCATGGGCCATTCCCTGCTTTTCTGACAGCACATTTCCAGTCATCAGCGGGGGGATGACATGGAATGACATTTCTGTCCCCAAGACCCAGTGCATCTGCTCTTACATCTCATGCCCCAGCAAGATTTCTGTGTAGATCCTTGGGTAGGACTAGCCTCCCATCTTACAGATGGGCCATCACTTGAGGAGAAATCTGGGAAGATAATTTTCCCAGCCCCCCACCCCCATCCAGATCTAGACTCGTCTTCTTGATCAGTTCATGTCATTCTTAAAGACCAAACAACCGAAACTTTTGGAACTGAACTGAGTACCTGCTTTGTGCCTGGGGTCTCAGATACAAAGATGATTAAGATAGATCTTTTCCTCTAGATGTTTCGGGGCTGGGGCAATTTTCTAGTTACCCTATTTATGGAAATGAAGGGAAGCAAGATCTGGGACCACCATGGCTAGGCCTATTGAAAATTATCCCACGTGGCCCTAAGGGTCTCGGCTACAGCCTCGAACTTAAAGCTGGAGTCTTGTGAGACACTGGTGCCTGGGCCCCTGCATGGCGTCCTTTCCCAGCAGAGCGCCATTAGCCATTTCAGTAGCAATGACTGTGCCCCTCCCCAGGATTCTTAGCGCTCCTGTACTTGTGCCCCACCGTTAACAGCTCGGCACCCCTCATTGCTGGCTGTTCAACCTGCACAACCCTTTGTCTCTTCACAGACTCTTTGGTGGGAAGCCTACCAAGCAAGTGCCCATTGCCACAGCAGACACCATGAAAAACTCAGTGGTGATCTCCAATCCTCATGCCACCTCGACCCAGCAAGGTAACTTAGAGTCCCCCTCGGGCAGTGGTGTCCTGAGCAGCGGAAGCAGCAGTCCTCTCTACAGCAAGAATCTGGATATCAACCAGTCTCCTCTAGCCTCCAGCCCCAGCTCAGCCCACTCGGGCCCTTCCAATAGCCTCACCTGGGGCACCAACGCCAGCAGCTCGTCCGCGCTCAGCAAGGACGGCCTGGGCTTCCAGTCGGTCAGCAGCCTTCACACCAGCTGCGAGTCCATTGACATCTCCCTCAGCAGCGGAGGGGGGCTGAGTCACAATTCCTCCACGGGCCTCATCACCTCCTCTAAGGACGACTCCCTGACTCCCTTCGTCAGAACCAACAGCGTGAAGACCACGCTGTCAGAGAGGTTGGTGCCGTGTGCCTATATCTCTCGGAGAGACACCCTCCCGCAAGTCAAAGGGTTTATGTTAGGAATCCCAAATGTTCGTTCCCCTTTGCCTGGGAGAGTGCGCTCTTTCTAACCACTGCTGTCTTTTCCATGGGGAAGCCAGGCTGGGATGGAATTCAACTCGGCTCTCCTTCCTGTTACCTTTTCCATCGCGGTTATTCTCCGTGCTTGGAGCTGCTGGCGGCGGCGGAGGGAGGGCTGCAGATTTAATGCTCCCGTTGGAAATGGCATTCCTCCTTGGAGGTCCTTCCATTTTATCCTGTTCATTCATCAGCTGCTTGTCCCCCCCACCCTTGTCATTGTGAAGGCAGAGCAGGTGGCAGGAGACGTTTCTAGGCAGTGGGGTGGACTTGGTGGGTGTCACGGCAGGCACCCTCCTATTAAAGGGCTACCAGCCAGAGTGATCGAGACACTCAAAGCAGCCTCAGAGCCCCGGATTTCACCACAGCGTGCTGTGTGTCTTGTTCTCCACGTAGGCCAGAATGCCGGGATGCGTGTTGGGAATGAGAAAAAAAAATGTTCTAATCATTGTGTGTGTCCGACCCTTCCCTTTTCTTCCCATCTAATGTTCCTTCTCTTATTTTCTACCTGCCTGGACTTCTAGCCCTCTCTCTTCCCCTGCTGCTAGCCCTAAGTTCTGCAGAAGTACTCTGCCCAGGAAACAGGACAGGTAATGACATTGTAGGCCTGGGAGCCCACCAAGCCTCCAGGTTCCTCTGCCCATCCGTGTCAAGCCAGACGTCTTGTGTGAGGCTGTTGGCCTGAGGCTGCCGCTTGTGTTCGTGGCTCTGCTGTACGCTGTGACCCCAGACATGCCAGGGAGGGTTTGCTCCGCTGTCCACCCCAGCCCTAGAAGCGGTGGAGTTGGGCCAGCCCGTCCCTCCCCAGCTTGGGAAGGAAGCTCAACCGCTTGAACTGGGGCGGCAGACACCCTCCCTTGCATCTCTGCCCTCCTGTGGCATGCTCCTGCTTCCCAGCTCCCTACCCTTTCTTCCCTCTCTCTCCCCTCCCCCTCCCAGCCCAGAAATGATCTCCCACCCACTGTGTGGCGGGGCCCTCACCTTTGTCTCCCGTGCCCCTACTCCCCACACAGCTGGCTCCCTTCCCTTCCAGAAAATCCTTTCCTGCTGTTTGGCTGGTGCGTCTCGCAGGTTGTTGTGTTCTGTGTGCCCATTTCCTGGAATGATTGTGAAAAAGAGGACATGGAGGGGTGAGGCTCTGTGAACTTAGAGGCTCGCTTGCCCCTAGCTGCCCTGTGGGTAGGCCTCAGAGATGGATACTGACCTCCAGTTTGTGGGGGAGCCTCAGCTTGGCCAAATACAACAACCAGATGTTGTTTTGTGCTAGGGAAAAAAAATTAATGAAAACCCCCTTCACCCCGTCTGTGGCAAAAACTTTGTTTTTGTCAGACTCACAGACCAAGCCTTTAAAACCTTGTTCTTTGGAAATCCAAATGCCTTGACTTTATCAGCAGGCAAGTTGAAACCTGCCGGCACTCGGGCCCAGGGCTGCTCACCGAGCTACACCAAACTAGGAGGGACCTGGAATTCATGTTGTTCCAGGTGAATTCCAAATATGCAGACTGCTGGCCTCTTGACACCCTCCCGCAAGTCCCTTCTCTCACATGGAGTCATCGTCAATGGCATTTGGGGAGGGTCAGGCACAGGGGTGCTGGCATCTCTCTCTCCAAGAAGCAGGGGTGCTGGTGCAAGCCTGGGTGACTGGGCAGCAGCAGGTGTGGGCTCTGCTTCAACCTGGGGCAGCCCCTGAGTTTTGCTTTGCATCTGTGACAAAAGAGGAAGTTTGGGGTCCAGTGGATGTCTCGGGCCTCCTGGTGCCTTGGGGTGTGCGCTGGGGTCGGCCAGGCCCCAGATCAGGTGTCTCTTGTTTTCCGTGGATGTGGATGTCTTGCATGTGCAGCTGGATAGAAGGGAGCACTCCCTGGTGCCGTGAGTCTCTTGCTCCAGATCTCCGGCCCCTCCTTAGCCTCTCCCTCCTTCCCTTGCCTACTTTCCCTGTGCTTCTCTGAAGTTCTCATTTTTGTTTTAACTTTCCTACAGTGACCCGCACCTTGATAGGAACACTTTGCCTAAAAAAGGACTCAGGTATCTGCGCTTCCTCCTTCCGTCCGTACCATCTGGTGTGGCTTTGGGGCTTGGCTGCGTGACCCTCATGGCTGGGGGAGGGGTGAGGGCTGGGCTGGGCTGGGGTCCCCGCTTTGGCCACCGCAGCAGGACCTTCTGAAACAGGGGCTCCCCTAGCACCCTCTCATTCTCATCGCTCCATCTGTTGGCTTTTTTGCTTGGGCAGAGGCTGTGCTTTTTCAGGCTTATTATGGCGAAAGCCATCTCATGAAGAACACTCCTTGGCAAGCCCAGAGAGCAGAGACTGCCTCTCCTGGGACCACGGGGTTCCATCAGTGAGCTCTTCACCCTGACCATTCTGTTCACAGCTGTCTTCCAAAAGAAAGGACGTGACTTATGGCACGTTGGTTAGCCAGGACATGGCAAAGAAGAGAAATAAATCTCCCTAAGTTGGAAAAGATTCAACTTTGAGGGCCATAGAAAATTACTAAAGACAGGCGCTTTGTCTTTCCTATAAGTATTTCATTGAAAATTGTGTCAGTTTTCAGTGCCCGACAAGACAATGGGTGTGATGATTGGCTTTGGTATAAAGAAAAGACTACCGGGAAGGAATGTCCTTCCATTCATCGGTAAGTCGTGGCTCATTTTTGGTGCAAGTCCTGGTTAAGCAAGATGCCGTAAGTCACCGTTGCTCACGCCATCTCCTTCCCTTTTGCCAACCAGAGGGACTAACGCCTGCCCCATGGTCCTACTGTATGACGGTTGCCGCTGTCATTTTCCCTGCTCTTTAAACACCTCGTTCTTCGTAGCATTTGCTTCACACTGCACTAGGCATTAAGTGCTTTCGCAAAAAAAAAAAAAAAATGGAACTTGGAATGAAATGTTTCATTGCTGTCATGTATGTCTGTGGTTAATAACCTGCAGCTCTTAAGGCTGAGAGCATTTTGAGCAATAATGTGAGGTAGGTATCAATGCTGCCTTTCAGTAGGGACTCGGGGAAAGCCAATTCTGAGAATCTAAGAATAAGAGTATTGAAAATGCCCCAACAGACGTCCAGCGGGAGGAACTTCAGCACTGTGGCCATAGAGGGAGGGGTTGGCAAAGGCCTTTTGTGCTTCACGGTTTTCTTCGTGCCTCTAAGGGCTTCAGACTAATAATACTCAGTTCATGGCCACTCCCAAGATGAGTTTGACATTGAGGCCCTACTCTTGCCTCCAAAGTGTAATTATCTAGGAAGCTAATCCCTCTAAAGAATAACATTTTTAAATTATATATATATATATATATATATATATATATATATATATATTTCCCCCCAGTGGATCTATTCTATCAAAATGATGTAGCTTTAAATTTTTTTTTTTTTAAAGATTTTTATTTGACACAGAGAGAGAAATCACAGGTAGGCAGAGAGGCAGGCAGAGAGAGAAGGGGAAGCAGGCTCCCTGCTGAGCAGAGATCGAGACACGGAGCTCAATCCCAGGACCCTGAGATCATGACCTGAGCCAAAGGCAGAGGCTTTAACTGAGCCACCCAGGCGCCCCTAAATTGTTTTTTTTTTTTTAATTTCAGAATAGAGTACGTGCTAGGCTATCTTCATGCAATTGATGGGACCCAGAAAATTGTATGTCCATCACCTACAGTAGATACACTCTGCCTGTCCCTCCTAGCTCCTCCCACCCCACATTCATGCACAATGCCAAGATACCAGCAGCTCTTCTTCTCGAGTCCAGAGAATCCCTCTGGTTCCATAATTAGTAGTCGCCCCACAGTAATCTGTGTGTAAGTCCAGAGGGCACTTCAGAAATTTGAGATGCTGCCTGTGGGCATGATGAGAAGAGCATGGATTTTGGAATCAGATGTAAAATGGATGAAATGTCACCACGTGATACGAGGCAGGCCCTCCCCTTCTTGCAGTGTAAAATGGGGATAGTAGCCTCTGCATGGCCAGGTGGGTAGGAGGTGTTGTCGAGATGCCTGTGCAGGCAGCCGGCACAACGGGGACCTTGAATACACCATTGCCAGACCTTTTATGTAATAAGTGAGGAGCTGGGTCCCGTGATGTCTGTGGCACCCAGTGATTTAGGGTTCTTGTTACGGAGACTTACTGAGGCTTCGTTGCAGCGAACACAGTGTCAATGTCGTCACGCCTTCTGTCGCGTCTGGTTTCTGATACGCTGGGACTCGCGGCCACTTACATGTGCCCGAGAATGCGGCTGCCATGAGCTATTGAATTAAAACTCCCTCGAAGCTCTGACAGCAGCTCCTTCTGCTGCTCCGGCCCCGTCAAGGTGGGGGCTTTGAAATGACACTATCGTGAATCAACATGTTACAGATACGCCCAGGGACGGCTCCTTTGAGCATTTACCGATCTTGCTCCCTTTATCCTCTGCACTAAAAAGAATTGCAATTTTCCCCAAAGGCAGCCAAGTAGCAAAAAAGGTTTGGAGAAACTTCATAAGTTTCAGAATATGTACTGATGTGATTTTTTTTTTTTTTTAAACATCATCTTTGGCTCTGTTTTTTTTTTTTTTTCATCTATTTATCATCAGCTCCCCGGAGTTCACGTTCATAAGTGTCGTTCACAGTTGATCCCAGCATAATTTCTGTCTATCCAGGTATACTCCCACCTCCCAGCTTCGCACCCAAGAAGACGCAAAAGAATGGTTACGGTCCCACTCTGCAGGAGGCCTGCAGGACCCCGCTGCCAATTCCCCTTTCTCCTCTGGCTCCAGCGTCACGTCTCCCTCGGGAACGAGATTCAACTTCTCCCAGCTTGGTGAGTAGCCACTGACCGTTAGCTGTCGGAATCAGCCCTGGGGGGGCAGAGGTTAATCTAGTATTTTGAAAGAGACCTGTGGTCATCGCCAAGTGGTCAAGCCCTCCATGTTGATGAGCCCTCAGCAATGGAACTTGATTATAGGGGAGTAATAGCAAAAGAGAGAGAAGAGAAAAGGTTTGGGTACTCTTATCAGTAATTTATTTATGTGGTTGGTGTAGGTAGGGTTATAGTAAAGAGCAAACCATTCTACTTTTGAGAAGAATGTATTGTTTCTCAGACTTCTGAAGACATAGGTTTCTATCTAAAAAGTTGTAGCATACCCCGTGTCTGGTCTTCTGCATGGCTCTATTAATTTGGAAAATAAAGATCCGGTTTTGAGTGAACACGTATTCTTGGAAATGCCTACTACTGACATCATGCTTTGACTGGCACAGTGGGGAAAGGAAAAGAATTTGTAAGACAGCCCCTGCTGACATGTTAATGGATTCTTTTTCAGAGAGACAAACACACCCACACAGACTCGTAATCAGGGTAAGAGAACAATCCAAAGCTTTATATGAAACTGTGTAAAAACCGACAATGATCAGGTAGCAGGTATTATATATAGTTAGGAAAAGGGAAGATCCGTCCTGGCTAGAATTACCAGGAAGAATGGGAGCTGAACCCTAGAAGACTGATGGAGGGAAAATCCTGCCCACTCTCATCTTGCTCTTTAAAAGGGAGGCCTTTTCTGATTATCGCGAATAATAAACACGGCTTCTTTAAGGACAGATGTGGCTTATCATCAAGTAAGGCTCCACTTTTCCTTTTTAATTAACAGATACTTTGGAAATACTGTATGTTATTGACATGGACAGGACTTTAATAAAAAAAAAAAAGCCTGTTCGGGCCAAGGTGGAGGGGAGGTGCCCCTTTGCCCTGAAGCTCTTTAGGTGCCATTACAAGCATGCCCCATTGGAAGCAGTGAGACCTGTGTTCATGTTGTTCTTTCCCAGCCGTAACTCTTTGAGGCAGGAGTTTCTTGTCATGCACAAATGCTTCCCATGTGATCAAAAGCCCGGTTGGACTATTTTGGGCTTTGGCTTTAGAGGGAGTTGTTCCAGATGAGCCCAGGGAGTAATTAGCTCATGCCTGGAAGGTGACACTGGCTTGTCGGAACGTGCCAAGTTGGAAAGCTGAGGCCCAGAGACTTGCTTTGGAAATGACCCACCTTTCCTCCCTTATTTTTAGTTCTCCGTGTTTTATTTAAATGTGGATGTGATAGCCTTCTAGAAAACAGACTAGGGAGGGAAGTTGGCAGGGACAGATATGGCCGATACTACTCCGTCCCCATCTAGGATTTGAAGAGAGACATGAATTTCCCACCTTTCAGTCCCCTTCCTTTCTTTTCCAGCGAGTCCCACCACCGTTACCCAGATGAGCTTGTCCAACCCAACCATGCTGAGGACCCACAGCCTCTCCAATGCCGATGGGCAGTATGACCCATACACTGATAGCCGATTCCGGAATAGCTCCGTGTCCCTGGATGAGAAGAGCAGAACCATGAGCCGCTCGGGCTCCTTCCGGGATGGATTTGAAGAAGGCAAGCAAGGAGGGTTACCGTCTCAGGTCCTGCGTTGTGGTGAATGGCCCTCTGTACCGCATTCGCGAGCTGAGAGCCCACCTGGAAGTGCTACCAGCTCTCTCTCTCACTCTGGGGGTTGGGACTGGGGAACTCTGAGTAGCAGGGTCTGGTTGTTCATTCACCTCATGGGGGGAAGAGGCTGCTGAAGAAACTCGAGTGAACTTAGAGTGGACCGTGTTCTACTCTAGGCTTCTCCCTCTTGGACTCCGGCCACAACTTCTTGGCATGAGCCTCCATCTTGAGGTTCAGCTGCCGGCTCACCGTCTTGGCAGACTGAGTTTCTGGAGAGTTAGTTCATCTCCTTGGGCTAACGTACCCATGTAGCTCCAGGGGCCTGTGGGCAGCCGGCCTCTCTACTCCACTCCATAATTTTCTATTTCTCAAGCACCAGGTTTTTTTTTTTTAACTTTATTCAGTGACACCCTTTTCCTTCAGGTATGCCCTTTTCCTTCTTTGCTCATTAACGGAATATTTTGGGTCAGATTTTTATGTTTTGTTCATTTTAATCAGAATGTTGGGAGAAAGTAGCTGTGGGCATTGTTGCCAGCGTCTTCCTAACTTGGTTCATCTCTCTTTCCCTTTGTTCCTTCAGCTCAGGGTGGGAGCTAGAGAAGCAAGCAGTCAAAACCCTGTGGAGGGACAACCCCACCCCTGAAAAGCTTCCCGAAGATGGGAATGATAGGATATTGGAGTCAATACTCATTGACAATAGTTAAAACTATGGAGTAACACTACCAGGGTTTGAGTTCCGGCTCCCCCGCTTCTTCGGTAGATGATCCAAGAGGACGAGTTACTTAACCTCCCTGTGCCTCTGTTTTTTTTTTTTTTTTTTTTTTTATTAACTGACAAAATGAGAATGGTAATAGTACCCAGCTCATGGAATTATGAGAATTCAACGGTAGATATAAACGTTCACCCGATAACGTCATTACATGTCCTAGCCTGTAGACTCAGCGTCAGCAGGGAGGTCCTGGCAGCTGGGACTCCCCAGCCAAGGGCTCGGGACTCTCAGAGCAATTGGAGCCCAGGCTATGGCCATAGCCCTCATTGTGCCTTTTTGCCAGTGACAGACGAGAATGTGGGAGAATGTTGAGGGGGTCATGGGTGTTTCCCTCTGGCCCCAGCCCCTGTGAGAGTGGGAAAATAGTAGCACAGCCACCTCCTGGGAGGAGAGAACAAACTTGTCTTGTTTTATTTTTGTTTTTTTAAACACTTTATTTATTTGAGAGGGAGGGAGGGAGAGCACAAGCAGGGGGAATGGCAGGCAAGGGGGAGAAGCAGGCTCCCCACTGAGCAGAGAGCCCTGTGCGGGACTCAATCCTGGGACTTGAGAATCATGACCTGAGCCGAAGGCAGATGCTTAACTGACTGAGCCCCCTAGGTGCCCCTGAACTTGTCTTGTTTAAAGAAATCCCTAAACAAACTGAGAGGGAAAGAAACAGAATAAAGTCTTCCACTGTTGCCCAGTGTACTTGCTTAGAGAAAGAGTAAAGGGTTTAGTTACAGGGCACTTGCCCTCTGGTCGCTCTTCCTAGCAACGTCCCTCCCTTCACCCTGATTTACGTGTCCCCTGCACCCGGTAAGCACAGTGAGCAAGTCTGCAAATCCATGTATGGGCACCTGCTGGGACAGAGGACCGAGGAGGGGTAGAGCCGGAGTTACCCAGAGTGTTCTGCTGGATTTAAGAGCTAGAAGTGCGTGCTTTAACCACCTGGGTCCCTCAGAGCGACGCACAAGGTTACCCGAAGGTAAAGGCATAGGCAGCTGGTCTTGAACTTTTTCCTAGTCCGTGTGCTAGCCAACCATGGCCGCAGAGCACTCCCCAGCCCGCCTTGTGATGACTCACATATGGAGCACGTCCTGGGCCACATTCATCTTCTGTGTCGTGTGTGTGCCTGAGTGAACCGTGTTCAGGACCAAGATTTGTCCAAACAAGCACACTTCGCCTCATAAAGATCTGGGACCATTACAGTCTCATCGTCAGAGAACTTTCCTTTATTCCATCTGGAATCAAGCTGTCAGGCAGCACCACCGTGGGATATCTGGGATGTCAAAGTGACATTGATAAAAAATGCTTGCCCACAAGCAGTGTCTAGACTTTTGTAAACCCTAATGATTCATGGTGACGTGGACTGAAGGGCAGAGGTAAAAATCAGGTTTGGCGGGTAGGGGGTAGGGACTGCTGTCGATATACACGACGAGCGCATACCATTTTCATCTTTTGGGGAATTTTGCATCGAATTGCTTTTACTCCTTCCAGGGCGATTGCATTACAAAGACAAGACAGAGCTCATGCAGTTAGATGCTTTTCATTCCATTGGGTGAAAGCTGTTCTTCCCATTTTGAATTTATAAATCCCAGAGTTGGAGAAACAGGGAAATTTTTACAACTCATGTTTGGACAAGACAGAACCTCTGTGTGAGAGTCAGTTAGGTACGTCATATACCAGAAAGCAGGAGAGAAATTGAAGAAGAATTAGCACAAAGACGTGGGGGAGGTTTCTGTGGGATTTAATTAGCACTTTCCATTTTGAAGGAAGTGGGAGTCATAAATATGTAGATTAGGTACAGCCATGGCCCAGATGCAACCTTTCAAAGTTATTTCAGGTAAATTAATTTCCATCAGATGCATTATGCAATCTTAAAGTCAACTTTAATAGCGTACATTTAGGGAGATGCTTGAGGCATTTTGAAAATGGATGTCTTTGCCCAGGGACTTTACCAGTCATCCCTAATTGCTAGTGCAATCTTAAGCAGTTCATATGGAATCCATAGGAACAGAGCAGCTTCTTAATAAATAAATATATATATATTTTGCAACTCACTTGGGTTTCTAGCACCTGAGTTGTACCTGTGATTGAAATCCTGGCACGTCTGCTGCTAGACTTGGGGAAAGGACTTGACACTGCTCAGCCTATTTCCTGTTCACTAAAAGGTAGAAAATAATTGTGCCTGCTTCAGAGGATTGAAGTGAAGATTAGGTGAGATAAATCCACAGAAAGCATCTCATGCAAAATGACTTCCAAAGAGGTTTATAGTCGGGGCGCCTGGGTGGCTCAGTGGGTTAAAGCCTCTGCCTTCGGCTCAGGTCATGATCCCAGAGTCCTGGGATCGAGCCCCGCATCGGGCTCTCTGCTCCTCAGGGAGCCTGCTTCCTCCTCTCTCTCTCTGCCTGCCTCTCTGCCTACTTGTGATCTCTGTCTGTCAAATAAACAAATAAAATCTTTAAAAAAAAAAAAGAGGTTTATAGTCAGTGTTCAAGCAGTGGTAGCCATTGCTGTAATTGTCAGGTTTTGTTTTCTCCTTCTCCCCAAGGGCCATTATCCCTGTTTTGTTTATGGCAAAGTTGAGGCCAGAGAAATGCCTTGGGGACTGTGTGCAGCCAGGACTCGGTGCCAAACTCTAGATTTTCAGCGCTCTGTTTTCATGTTCAGTCCTACCTTGACATCTGACTCTGCCTAGGTCGCAGCTGGGCTTTCTTACCTCTGTGAGGCGGACTGGTCCTTCATCAGCGTGTTTTCTGTTTTCAGTTCTGCTTCCTTTGCTGGTTCAGAGGGTGGTCCATTAGCCATCAGAACCGTGCATCCTTCTCACTGGTAGCACCTCTGAGAGTATCAGCAGTGGAGTGAGAACTAGGCTATATGCCTCCAAACCTGTCTCTGCTCCTAACAGGCTGTGTGTTCTTGCCATATCACTTAGCCTCTCTGGGTCTTAATTTACTCTGTTGTGTGTTAGTAGTGGGAACTCCTGCCCTGTCTGGGACTATTACCTACAAATTCTCACTTCCAACAGTAGTGCACTTGAGAAAGTGCTTTGATAAGTACGAGGCTGGAGATACATGCGAGATGCATCGGGGCCTTTGGGATACCCAATTGTTTCATTCTGTCTAGAGCATGTACGGATCACCACCTGTACCTTGGGCAGGGGTGAATCGTGTTTTTCTCAAACATGCAATTGTTTGCTCATTTGGTGCCAGCTTCGTGTCTATGTATATTGGATGAGTGGCTGGGGAAACCATTCTAAAACCAAAAGCCTTTACCAAAAAAACAAAAAATGAAAACAAAAACAAAAAACAACCATCAGAAACTCCTAAATCAGGTTTCTCACTTTTTTTTTTTTTAAAGATTTAATTTATTTATTTGACACAGAGAGAGAGATCACAAGTAGGCAGAGAGGCAGGCAGAGAGAGAGGAAGGGAAGCAGGCTCCCTGCTGAGCAGAGAGCCTGATGTGGGGCTCGATCCCAGGACCCTGAGATCATGATCTGAGCCGAAGGCAGAGGCTTACCCCTCTGAGCCACCCAGGTACCCCCTAAATCAGGTCTCTTAAGGGCAAAACAGTCTCCATACTTCTGGTCAGCAGATCCTGTTCCTGAATGCTGGGTGACCTTAAGCAGACCAGTTAACCTTTCTGGGTTTCGGATTCCTCGGGTGCAGAGATGGCCTAGACAAGTCTCTGTGGTTCTTCATAGCTTCAGAATTTTGTCTTATTTTATTTATTTACTTAGAAAGATTTTTATTTATTTATTTGACAGACAGAGATCACAAGCAGGCAGAGAGAGAGGAAGGAAAACAGGTTCCCCGCTGAGCAGAGAGCCCGAGTGGGACTCGATCCCAGGACCCTGGGATCATGACCCGAGCCGAAGGCAGAGGCTTTAAGCCACTGAGCCACCTAGGTGCCCAACATAGCTTCAGAATTTTAAAGATATAGGTATAGGGTAGAAAATGCATGGTGTGATTTTGCCATTCTGGCTTTGCAAGACTTCTCTGCCTTTTGCTGTCCAGAAGTATCCAAGACACATAACCCAGGCTCTGATTTGGTTCAGCTCACTTGGAGTAAGGCCCACTGCAATGGTTCAGGCAAGCCACATTCAGTTTGGAGCTGACTCTGGAAATCAAGGAGTCTTTCTTTGGACCACGGCCTTGCTGTTGCTATTTACCTAGTGAGAGGAGTCAATTACAGGGAAGAAGAATTACCTCCATAGGAGCCTACCAGTTGCGCTCTTCACCGGCGGCCCCAGGCCTGCACTGAGGTATTGCTGAGGGCAGTGTCTAAGTCTGTGCATATGAGCTGGAGATATAGAAGAGACCAACTTCCATTTTCCAGCAGACTTGTCCCACATGGCAGCCCTGTGCTGGCTGAGCAGGTGGTGTGATGGAAAGATGTGGGGCCGGATGAAAGAAAAGCTAGAGGGTGGCTGCATGTTACTCATGTCTCTTCCCCCATTTGGCCTCCAGTATAATCTGCCCCTACTGCCCGTCTCATGGGGCTAGAGTACCTTAACCCCTTTAAACATTAAGCCACTCGTTTGGGGCATGAGAGGCGTCTGCTGGTGTGTCTACGTATGAACACTGGAAGCCATTATTGACCATTTATGCCATAAACTGATTTCTTATGGGGCAAGGGCCAGAAAAGTCATGGATGGCAGCAGAATGGAGGAAAAGATCTCAAACCCTAGTGTTCCTAAGGAAAGTGGATTTGAGTGATGGTGTAGCCATAACCTCAGAAGAGCAGGCACCTTCCAGGAGAGAGGAGGGCCGGACAGGCAAGTCAAGAACTGTGTGGGTTCAGAGGGGGAGGGCGTGTATCTGGTGCAGGCAGGCAGGGAACGGAGGGAAGGCTTCATGGAGAGGCGTTGTTTGAGCTGAGCCCAGTGATTTGGACAGGCAGAAATGAGAAGCATCCAAAACAAAGGGAACTGTACAGGCAGACACTCTGTGGAGGCCAAGTGTTAGGCAGGGCACGCTTGAGAGAAAAGTGCAGGGTTCTGAATGGGATGGGAGCATGTAAAGGAAGAGCAGGAGGTCAGGAGGTTTATGGGAAGACAGTGTGGAGGCACCTGGGTGGTGGGCTGAGCTGTTCGTCAGGTATCTCATGGGCAAGTAGCTTCTGCCCAAAGCTGATCCAAGTTGAGTTCACTTCTTGGGTGGTAAGGGCAAGCCTTTTAGTGCAAGTGGAAAGTTATTCCCAAGCCTCCCACTCTCAGACCACAGAGGATAGCTAGTGTGGGGGTAGAGCATTCGACTTGTGGTCAGGAAAGCTGTGCCCAATTAAACATCTCTGATGTCTCCACAGGCATATTTTTTGTCTTTCAAAAAGTTGTCAAGAGATTACTAAGAAAATGTCGTTAAAGCATCTGGTTCCCAGAAAGAGAAGTACGTTAGAATACTTAGTCTTAGAAAAGACCATGATTTAAAATTACAGAGAAATAATAAAATAACTCCACTGGCTGGGGGCAGGAAGGGGTGCAAAGCGGGTATGAAGATGGTTCTGAATCCAAAGAACCAATCAGAGACAGAAAAGAGGACACCACTTGATTGTCCTTTTGTACACGTGGTAGAAATCAAAAGAAGAATGTCTTCAGTAGATAATGTTTTCTGAGCAAGTGTTCTACCACATGGTCTTCTAGAATGAGTTGACTATGGCCAACAGCCAGCCTCCTGTGTTCATGATAATGGGCTCATCTTTGTGCATACACAGGTGACAGAAGCTAGCAGGGTAGACAACATGTATGCAGCACAATCTCATCCCTAGAGGAATACATGAGAGAAAAGTCATGGATGGCAGAAGAATGGAATGAGAGAGAAGGAAAGGAGTAAAATGTGCTGGGATAGAAAAGGTTACAGGTTGCCTGTGGGTAATAAAATTATGAGTCGTGTGGGTTGTGGCAGTGAATATGTTTTCTTATCACTTCTCCATACTTGAACATTTTTACTTAGTAATCATGTATTATTTTCATGGGGAAAAAATTACGGAGAGGTTGTAGGGGGGAAAAGGGAGGAAAGGAAAAGAGACTCCCCTTGCAAATTATTCCTTATTTGACTCTGACCTATTGCCAAACCAGGAAAAGATGGGTCAAGGTGAGATGAAGTTACCTGGTAGTGTCCCATAGTGCTGAGTTTCTCCTCCTCTCTCCCTCTTTGGCTCCATAGTTGCCAGCTGTGCAATTTACCTGTTTTTTTTTCTTTTCTTTTTTTAATAGTACACGGATCCTCGCTGTCCTTGGTTTCCAGCACGTCATCAATTTATTCTACAGTGAGTATAAATCAATGCTATGTGGCTATGACCGTGAGAACTGGGGCTCCTTTCTCACGTATGTCAAGAATAAAATATAAAATGAAATTGTTTCTCCTAGAGAAAGTATCTCCCTTGTAAGGGGCCTGATTCATCAGGGAGTAAGATTTGAAATTCACAAACAGCTACGAATTGTTAACGTCTCAACCAGTGAATCAGGAACTGACTCCTTTGTTAGAGTGGCATTGCGCTTTGGGTGGGAACTAGTTAGAACGTGTGAGAAGCCTTGGCCACCTGCTGGTAGCCTTAGGAAAGAAAGGCCTTGAACAACTTCTGTCTGCCTCAGTTTCTTTATCTGTCAAGCAGAGAGAATAGCAGCCCTTAGCTTGTGGAGCTTGTGGATTTACTGTTGGGAAGATGACATTGAGCTACAACGTATATTCCTTGATGACAAGGACTTTTTCCATTTTTATTCCTTAGCGTTTGGAACAAAGCCAAGCATGTAGTAGATGTTCAAAAAATAGGCTTGAATATGAGGAAGTAGAGATGCAACATGGGGGGTTAAGGGGGTAGGAGAAGAATAAATGAAACAAGATGGGATTGGGAGGAAGACAAACCATAAGTGACTCTTAATCTTACAAAACAAACTGAGGGTTAATGGGGGGAGGGGGGGTGGGGGGGTTATGGACATTGGGGAGGGTATGTGCTATGGTGAGTGCTGTGAAGTGTGTAGTCTGTGATTCACAGACCTGTACCCCTGGGGAAAAAATATATGTTTATAAAAAAAAAAAAAAAAAAGGCTTGAATGAGATAAGAAAACACCCGTGAAGCACCGAGGGCAGTGCACACAGCCCAGAGCAGGTGCTGGCTGTCGTCGGTGTTCGCCAGCTTCCATGAGTGCTCTGCTGAGCAAATCCACATGGAATCAAATACGGTTCTGGATTTGTTTGGGGGTGCTTGCTTTTTTTTATAGCTATGTGTGTAGCTATGTGCGTAACTATTTATCTTAGAAACCTTACTTTGGGAATTCCTATAGGAGAAAAAATCATTTCATTAATTGAGAATTGGAAATTCTTTAGCTCTTCATTCCTTGGAGGACAGATGTTTTAGTAATTCACTTTTTGGTAGTGCCGGGTTCCTGAGCTACGTGTATGTAGCAGGACAAACTGTATATGGCCCCTTAGAAGCTAAAGGCCATCCCAGAATCCAGCGAGAGAGACTAGGGCCTGACTCTTCTTTCATAGGCCTGTAGCGAGCAAACGGACTTCAGGGATTGCTGACATGGTCTGTCTTGAAGGACCTTGAAATGATCTCTTCTGCTCCTACCCACCTTGCCCCTCCACCTCCAGAACACCTCCTTCCTCAGCCAGTCATCTGGTCTGAAGTGTCGTCACAGAACCCTCGCTTTTTCATTTCTTAGAGATCACTGAAGCCGTTGTCTACGAAGAAAACGTAGAGATGACCTTCTGTCAGCTAGCCCATACGTTAAGTCCTTTCTTCAAGAGGGAAAATTGGTGACATGGGTGCCAAGATGGTACTTTCAAACCTAGATTTACTTCTTGAACAGGATTTACTGGCCCTCGGTCTGTGCCGGGCTCTAGGCTAAGCCCCAAGGATGAGATGTAGGTGGAGAGAGGAGCCTGCTGCTGAAGGCTTCTGAGGCCAGAGGCACCCAAGAACACGTTGGGTTGTGGGACTCTACAGTCACAGGGTTGGTACAGAGCCATTACGGCAGACATCGCTGTGCCCGAGCCCCTTGTTTTCCCAGTGGAGCTCCCAGAATTTCCTGTCAACATAGAGAGGGCCAATTGTTCTTGGAAGAGTGGAAAACAGGGCCTGGCCTACATCAGCCAGCCTAGGAGGGAAAGAGCATGAGCTGCTCCCACTGTGAGAATTCAGATGCAGGAAGCCATCCCTGGCATTTCCTGGCCACGGTGCCTTCATGCAAATCATTGCAAGGTCTTATCCTCAGGAGCCTTTCCGTAGCTCCTATTCTGGGTGTGTGGACAGGAAATTTCAAATGATTCTTTCTGGATTGATGTAAATTCACACATTACCAAAGACCTAGGAATAGTATTCAATTTCGTCTTTAACCAGATAGCAAGAGACCCAGGGCCCCGTCTTCGTTTTTTTCTCACTGTGTGACTTTGTACAAATGACCTCATTGTTCCAGGTGTCTGTCAGTTTTGTCCTTGCTGTTGGGGGGCTGTGGCATCTCAGGGCTGCCCACAACTGACATTTGCTGAGTCAAAGGGTCTCCTTTTACCTGGCCTTCTCTGAGCATATAGGTTACTTCTGCAGACTTTTATAAGAAATAGCCTAACATTTAAATGTTTTCACGTTAGAGTAGTTTGTAGATTCCAAACTGTATCTGGCTACATAGGTACCACCCAGCATGGACGTGGGGTCCCTTCTGTCTTATTAGCCACTTGGCAATGATAGAATTCTAAAACTCAGGCACCTTTGTAAATGTTAAGGTGAACCAGTCATTTCTTGTCTAAAACGAGATGGTTGTGTTTCCTAAGCTGCCCCCAGCCCAGACCAAAGAGTCTGTTTAATGGCTGAGTGTCTTAAAGGTTCTTATTGGATGACTGATAATGGGTTTTTCCCCTGATATCTATGTAATTTCTGGATATTCAAGAACGCTCATTCTGGCTAAAAATTGCCTGAAATTTTAATTATGAAGGAAAGAAAAGGCAACATGTTGGTGAACAACTACCATGGAGAAGTCAGTGCCAACCCTTGGAGTCGAGAAACTCTAAGGGGCCCCATCTGGCCTTGGACTGGCTTTCTTAAATGGTAGAGAGCAGTAGTTGCACTCTCAGGAGATCTCCTGAATGGAGGGAGGCTCCCAACCTCACTTAGAGTTCCCAGAGGCACAGAAGAACAGCAGCTGGGGGTAAGATACAAAATACAGGATTTTACAGGCTGCTGTTGAGAACAGGGGCCCAAACCTAGAGACAAATGGGCAGAATGACAGATGGTGGCAGAGGTATGGAGAAGGAGTGTTGGGCCCATGGACGTAAGTGTTTAGAAGTAGGGCTCGTCCTACTTGGATGGTTCAGCCTGCTTACAGACCTCCGCTAGCCTCCCAAATGTTAGATTGCCATGACGTTCTCACCATTAACTTTCTCCTTTGGATCAGACTCAGAAGTTCAGGGGCCCGATTTCAGGAAGGCCTCCGTGAGAATGTAGCTGTAGTAAAAGAAGGAGAATGTTCTTGTTAAGATCATAGACTCTAGAGCCAGACGACCATGGGTCCCATCCCAGCTCTGCATCTTAACAGCTGGGACCATGGGCAAATTATTCAACCTCCCTGTGCCTCAGTTTCCTCATCTGCAAAATGTGAGTGAATAGTATTAGTACCTGCTCAGGAGGTTGTTACGAGGATTAAATGAATAATGAAAGGAAAGGGCTTAGAAGAGTGGCATGTGGTAAGCATTCAATAAATGCCACCTACTATAGGAGGTGAGGGACTTGGCGGTCATGGTCACCCCTGTACCCCGGCTTCTTAACACAGTGCCTGACACGTAGTAGGAAATCCATAAATTTTGATAGGTGGCAGTAGTGGACATGAAGAGATGAACACCTAGATGCGCAAAGAGGGATAGATGAATATTCCCAGAGAGGGAAGAGTGAGCCCTGGAACTCTCCCAGCGTTCTCCCAAAAGCATTTCTTAGATGAGATTGTCCAGCTGTGTGACATTAGGCAAGGTCTGACCTCTCTGTGCCTCAGAAAGAATACGGACCTACTCTGTAGGGCTGTTGCGAGGATTAAGTGGTTTGGCCCCAGTATTCCTAAAAACCAGTTGCTGTTGTTAGAAGCCAGCTTGAGGGAGGGCCCCCCTGGGCAGCATCAGGAGTCTGGGCAGTGGGGTAGGGAGCAGGGGGAGAAGGGAAAGCAGGCAGGAACCACCTCCCACCTGCTGCAGCTGGTGGATATAGGGTCTGGTGGGGGGTAATGACTCACATTCTGAGCTAATGGAAAAGTAGACACCAGGGTCAGATGCTGATTTTTTAAAGTGATGGGTTTGTCACTAGTAGCTGTTAGGATTGATTGGATTGGACCAATCCAGTTGGTCTAGGACCCAAGGATAAAACAGAGTCTTTACTGATCTTCACTTGCCTGTCTGGCTCCCAAGTCACTGCCCCACCCCCAGGGAAGCGTGAATGGAGGGTTGGACGGAAGGTAGGAATCCTTCCAACATTGCCAGAATGTGGGGGTGTCTTTTTTTATGGGCCCCGGGCAGAACCGCAAGAGAATGAAAGAAAGGTTCCCCTTTGTTGTCGGTTCCCCCTATGGAAGGAGAGGGGTAGCCTTGTAGTCCCTGGCTGGCAGGTGTCTGTCACCACAGACACAGCCCCAGGATGGGAGACTCTCCCAATAAGAGGGCCCACAGGCTGCACCCATACCTCCCAGAGTCACAGGTAACTGGGGGCCGTGAGGTGGGGCGGCGGGAAGATCCACACAGCCTGGGGAGTCAGTTGGCTGGCTGCTGGGGGCTCCCAGCCTCCCTCATTTGGGAGGCCTTCCTGCTGCTCCTGGGGCAGTGCCTCAGACAGAAGAGAGGGAGGGGTAAAACCGGCGGTTAACCCATGAGCAGTCCTCCCGCTAGGAGCGCCCAGTCACATTACAAATTCAGATGAATGACTGGTAATTCTTTAGTGTACGTTGTCCCCAGTGTGGCCTGGGATGTTTTTGAACCTGTACATTTATTCGCTAAATTAGGGCATCTGCCCCTGGTTCATCCCTTCTTGTCATGCCTTCTCCAGAGCACCTGACCGTATCATCTCCACATGGGAGCAGGGGGGCTCCTCACAGCCAAAATAATTGCACTGTTGTTCTCATCCTTCCTAATTTCTTATAATCATATGCTCTTCCTGTTTGGCCTTTCTCATTGGTCAAATTAACCGAACCAGTTTATCCAGAAAAATACACCAGGAAAGAAACTCCTCTCCTGGGGACTGCTGTAAGCATCCAAATCGGGTGTTCCCCACCGACTGCATTGCCCCATTCTTTGTTCCTCAGCTGATCTCTAATTTCCCTTATGATTTCCTTACAGCCCGAAGAAAAGTGCCAGTCTGAGGTAAGGATCAGTTTGCTGGTTGCATTCCCTCCTTCGCTATTATCCACTACTTCACCCCGCTCAACCTGGGAACGGGCTCTTAAAGCAAGTAACTCTGTCCCTTGCCAACCTTTAGATTCGCAAACTGCGGCGGGAGCTGGATGCCTCACAAGAGAAGGTTTCAGCTTTGACCACGCAGCTGACCGCAAATGTGAGTACAGATACAGGGTGGTAGCCACGGTGGGGTGGAGGGGGGCAGCCCTGCTCCCTTCTGACGGGCTGTCAGGGCCGCCTGCCCCCAAGTACTGTGGGAGCAGTACCGTGGGAGCAGTACCGTGGGAGGGGCGTGGCTTTAGCCTTGTGAGCTTCCACTCAGGCTCTGAGTGGCTCTGGGCTCCATGGAGCATCTTTGAGCCTCTGAGCCTGTATTGGCTCATTTGTGCAATGGTGGATGGTAAGCGTCTGCTCTCTGGGTTGTCACGTGGTCAGTACTGGAATACGTTAAGGGCTCAGAAATATTCGTTTCCCTTTTCTTCCTCTTTCTGAAACTTTTCATCTTCAGGCGGGGAAAAAATAAAAGAAATCCAAGGCTCCAAATAAATAGCTGACTGTTCTATAATTATAATACCCACAAGTACGTGTTCAGGAAATGCTGCCAGCTAGCATTAAATTCAACAACTGTTTGAGTGCCAACTGTGCCTCGGGCACCGTGGGTTCAGCAGCAAAGCAGGCACAGTCACTGTCCTCTTCATGTGCTTTCCCTGGTACCGCAGAGAGACAGAACTGTTTAGCTATGACATGATAACTGTTCAGAGAGAGAGATAAAGGGAGAAGATTGTGGGAATGTGTAAGGAGGATCACCTAGCTCAGTCTCGTGGTGGGGGAGGGGGAGGTCAGGAAAGGCTTCCTGGAGGAGGTGACATCTGGGGGATGCTGTGTAGGGGAGGATGTGTGGAAAGGCAGCATTCTCACTAGTGTGCAAAATGTATTTGTGCAGAAGCCCAGGGTGAAGATCTTAGCGCATTTAGAAACCGTAAGTAGCTCAGTGTATAATTAGAATCTATGGCTTGGATATGGGAAGAGGCAAGGGGAGAAGGAAGAGGGGAGGGGAGGTGAGGTGAGGCATCAAAGGAAATCTAGGGGCAGGTCCGTCGCATATCATGGAGGCTCTCAGCTCTTAGGCGGACAGTTCTGGCTAAAGGAAGTAGAGCTTCATTGGTGTGTGTGTGTGTGTGTGTTGTTGTTGTTTTAAGATTTTATTTATTTATTTGACAGAGAGACATCACAAGTAGGCAGAGAGGCAGGCAGAGAGAGAGGGGAGAAGCAGGTTCCCTGCTGAGCAGAGAGCCCAATGTGGGGCTCGATCCCGGGACCCTGAGATCATGACCTGAGCCGAAGGCAGAGGCTTTAACCCACTGAGGGCCCCCCCCCACCCCCGCTGCCCCATTGGTGTGTTTTAAGCAGAGCAGTGAGGCAGTTTGGTTTGCTCTTCATGAAGCTTCCTGACTGTGGCGTAGTTATAAGATCAGAGGGTCAGAGTGAAAACAGAGACTTGAGGTCTGCAAAGTAGCCCCACTGCAGAGCTGTGGGCCAGTGAGGGTTGCCCTTCAGAGGCTGGAGCCTGAGGTTTGGAAGGTGTGGAGATGCCCTTGAGGCAGGGCATCCTGCCTGGAGCACACGGCCCGGTCTGAGACCACAAACACCTGTGTGTGAACCTGTCCCAAAGCAGCCTGCACGACCCCATAATATGCTGTTAGAATGAAGGGCAACTTCAAAAGGCTGTCTTCTCTGGACCAGGAAGCTGAGTCAATCAATACTCCAATGAATCATTTCACCTGCAGTTCTTGCCCAGGTCGTTCCTGCTGAAGCCTGAGCCAATGGAAGGAAACCAGTTCTCTTTAAAGTCTGTGCGCAAAGTACCTTGTGGAGTACTTGACCTTAATGACAAGCTCAATAACTCGTAACTCCTCTCACTGTTCATGCTCCTGAGTGCTCTCACATTTCTGGGAGTCTTTGCATTATTTTCTCACCCTCCCATATCAGGCCATTATGTGTTTCGTTATCCGTCTGTCTTCTCTCTGCTGCTTCTATCGTCAGTAGCAGAACATCAGAAATTGCTGAGAGATCTGAATTAAGATTTTATTTATTTATTTGACAGAGAGAGACGCAGCGAGAGAGGAAACACAAGCAGGAGGAGTGGGAGAGGGAGAAGCAGGCTTCCCACAGAGCAGGGAGCCTGATGCAGGGCTTGATCCCAGGACCCTGGGGTCATGACCTGAGCCAAAGACAGATGCTTAACAACTGAGCCACCCAGGTGCCCCTGGGTCTTATTTAAAAAAAAAAAAAAAAAAAAAAAAATCCCGGAGGTGGTATTCTATGAATATTCTTCATCTGGGTACCATTTGAATCCAGACCAACCCCAGACCCAATGAGCCAATCTGGATATAATCCAAATGTGAGGTTTGACAGCGACCCCCATCCTGAGTGATTTGGAGCTACTCCCCTAGTTAAGAATTCCTGGCATCCATTGGTGCCCTTTTACTCAAAAGCTAGTTTCATTAGTTTATTTATCAAAACTTGGGTTCCTTCCTCCAATGACCTTGTGCTGCCCAAAGGATCTTACACTGGGCCATTTGGAACTCTACACTCTGCTCCAGAAGAGTCCGAGGGAGATCCCTTGCATTATTATTATTCCAAAAGTATGTTTTGCTCCTCACCAAAGCCACTGAGTCCAGTATTGTTTGAAAGTAAATATTTAGTCTTACCACACCACCGGCCGCGCTAACGTGTTTTATTGTCTGCCATCTTTCTCACAGGCCAAGCTGTGTTTGTTTTTCTAGGACAAACTACTCAAAGCCACCTTCTTTGGGTGTTTTTATACCATTCGTGTTTGTTTTTCTGGGAATGTGAGAATGGCACTTGGTAAGAAGTCTGCTGTGTGGCTCTGAACCAGGCTCCAAACAGCCTCTCAGCCCATGTTTTCACAGTTGCTGATGACCCAAAGTTAGTCCTTTCTCTAGAAAGCAAAATGCAAACCTCTGGTTCTTCAGAGCAAACGTGGCTTCTTCTTGAGTTTGCAAAAACACTTTCTCAATAGTAGTCTTCTTGGGGTCAGGTTTTTGTGTTTGAGGGAATAGAAAGTATGAGTGCCCACAAACAGAATCCTGGGTGGCAATCAAAGAATTGAAATAAATGGAAATTTGGTCATTAAAATTTGACCTTGGCGTTCCTTTGAAACACAAGGTTAGCAGTAATTCATTTCAACATCCTGGCCCTGGCCCTGTTTCCTTCATCCACTATGTAAACTGTCTTGAATTAATCGGCTTTGGTTCTGCCATATTCTCCTGGGCAAACTAAACAAAGGCATATCCCTTGATTTTAAAATGCAACAGCATTTTCTCAGTTTTTAATAGGGAGAGAGCATGCAATCAGAAAGAAACTGGGCAGTCCACTTAACATTTCTATTACAAGAGGTCCTGCTCCCTGCTAACTCCTACAGCTGTTGGAAAAAAGACCCAACATGCTAGAACATCTCTAGTTCATGCTAGAGATGCCTTATTCTCAGCTGTTTCAGTTAGATGAAGTCTAGTGACAAGAGGCCTCTGACTCACTTCTCTGATCTCTCCTCTTTAAATTGAAATGTCCACTGACCCTCCTCATGACCCCGGACAATGTCCCAGCTGTCCCCCGGTTGTTCCCTCACTTTGATTCTTTACTGAATACATCAGTCCTCTCTTCCTCTAGAATATTACAGACCCCATGATCAGATCTTACTTCTCCCTCCTCCCAGGAGTCACAGTCCCTCTACTAGCTCTTCTCTTTCTCCTGTATTTGCCCACTCCTCTCCTACAACCCTTTCCCGATCTGTCCCCACCTGTGTTCTTATCCTGTCTTTTGTCACTTCATCCATCCCAAACCTCTTTCTTTCCTTTCCCCACAGTGTCTGTTCATTCCTATGTTTATGGACCTATGTTCACCTATATTGTTTCACTTAATGCTCACAACAACCCTGGGAGGGAGTAGATACTGCACCCATTTTATAGATGGAGAAATTGGGGTGCCTGGGTGGCTCAGTGGGTTAAGCGTCTGCTTTCAGCTCAGGTCATGATCTCGGGGTCCTGGGATCGAGCCTCGCATCGGGCTCTCTGCTCAGCAGGGAGCCGCTTCCCCCTCTCTCTCTGCCTGCCTCTCTGCCTACTTGTGATCTCTGTCAAATAAATAAATAAAATCTTAAAAAAAAAAAGTTTTATAGATGGAGAAACTGTTGCCAATAGGATTAGCTCTCTTGTCCGTTCCTTATTCTTGGTTTTGACCATATTATCAGGACCCTCAGTCAACCAACCAATGTATCATGGGCTCTTCTGGAGGAAGGAAGAGGCTTTGTGTTAGGACACGAGGTTGCATCTTGTCCTTGAAGAGGGTTGAAGAGAAAGGGGCAGACAGAAAAGCATCTCATTTCTCTTAATATACGTGTTTTTTTCCCTACATTTTTAACATCTCTGCAAGTGGGATGCATATTTTAATTAGAATTGGCAGCATTTCTCAGGATGTCTTAGTACCATATGAAATAGTGGCGTGTCTGATGTCGTGTTCTAACAGGTATATAAAATTATGGAGGTGGGGCACCTGGGTGGCTCAGTTGTTAAGCCTCTGCCTTCAGCTCAGGTCATGATCCCAGACTCCTGGGATTGAGCCCTGCATCGGGCTCCCTGCTCATCGGGGAGCCTGCTTCTCCCTTTCCCTCTGCCCCTACTCCAGCATGTACTCTCTCCCTCACTTGCTCACTCTCAAAAAAAAAAAAAAGAAGAAGAAGTATGGAGGGGCCTTGGGGGAAAACCGTAACTCCTTGGAGGAACAGGGGAAGGTTTCTCCAAGGAGGGAGCAGATGGGCCTTTCAGTGGCTTTTTATTAACCGGGATTAGAATAAACAAAATAGCCCAACCACTGTGTTCATCCATTCTGCAAACGTGCCCAATGTGAGCCTCTCCTGTGAGCTTGGCACTTGGAGAGCAAAGCTCAGGGGAGCAGAGGAGGAAGACAGGAGGCAGTAGTTGCTGGAGTACACGTGTCCCTAACTGTGACACCGACATGCATGTAGACCAACAGTCCATGTGCTTTCAAGAGTAACCATGAGAGAACCAGCCCATCTGGGGGTGTCATGAAGACACGAGCTGAGATCTCTTGAGAAGGATATATGAAAACCAGACAGGGAGGTGTGGGGGAAGAGCACTGTAGGCAGAGGAGAAAGTAGGTACAAAGCACCTAAGGTGGGAAGGAGCACAGGGTCTTTAAGGACACCATGAGCTGGAGTGACTGGATCTCAAAAAGGTGGAAAGTGGGGCTCCAGGGGCTGAAGAATTAGACGGGAGCTAACTCACGGGGCCCCAGTGAGGATTTCAGCCCTGAAGACCCAGCACCCCCTGGGCCCTCTTGCCTTTCGAGGTAGTCTGACTGAGGCTGTGTCTTTCCTTCTCCAGGCCCATCTGGTGGCAGCCTTTGAACAGAGTCTTGGGAACATGACCATCAGACTCCAGAGTCTGACCATGACGGCTGAGCAAAAGGTAAAGAACTGCTTAGAACTGACAGCACAGCTCCAAATTGACGCTCTCTTATTTCAGAGAAGGGTATGGATTTTAGTGTATTTGAACTCTTGGAATCGAATCGTAAAGAGTTGTACTCTGTTGAGTGCACATCTGATCCAAATGGCGGGGTGTGGAGTGGCTGCAACCCTTCATCTCTCACAGGCCTGTTTCTGCTGCTTTTTAAAAAAGATTTTATTTATTTGAGGGGGAGAGGGAGAGAGAACACAAGCAGGGCGGAGGAGCAGAGAGAGCAGCAGATTCCCCGCTGAGCAGGGACCCCCACACGGGGCTTGATCCCAGCACGCTGAGATCATGACCCGATCTGAAGGCAGACGCCTAACTGACGGAGCCATCCACGTGCCCCCATTTCTGCTGCTTTTGTGTGTTTCTACGCCCGTTGAAAATCAATCTATCCTACGGGAGGGGACAGAGGTTTTGTGGAACTCCTTCGTTCCCTCTGCTCCGTGCTGAAATAGGGTTGTTGTTCATGTGAACTCTGTACAGAGTGACTATAGGATGACCAGTATTTCCTGCTGTTCCTCAGGATTCAGAACTGAATGAGTTAAGGAAAACCATCGAGCTGCTCAAGAAACAGAACGCAGCTGCCCAGGCTGCCATTAATGGGGTCATTAACACGCCAGAGCTCAACTGCAAAGGTAAAGGAAGGGGGGGCAGCCTCCAGACCAACGACCTGCCCGCCCTTAGGAACCTTCCCCTGATGACGTGTGTCGCAGCCTCCCTGCCCCGGGGTGCATGTCCCTGTCAGTCAGACAGGTCCCGGGAGGAAGACACTTGTGGTCCGTGACTCCAGGCCTCTAGGAAGATAGCTCTTCCAGCTCAGTCTTTTCCCTGATGTAGCTCAAACGTGGAAGAAAATCTGTTTATATTGGTGAAGTGTCAAAAGTGTTTCGCTTAATTTCACTGGTGTCCTCATATTTACATGTGGACGCGGGCCAGCCTGAAATCAGCATCTCGTGTTCATCCAGGGAAGTGTTTCTGAGTCAATTGCTTCGTGCTTGTGTATCTTACCTGGAGGCCAGATTGGGCTGGGAGGATGAGTTCCCTCCCGCCGCAGTGATGTTGTCGGTGATGGTACAAGTCACAGTGACAGCCAGCATTTAGGGGACACGCACTGTGTTCTAAGCACTCTGCTCAGTGTTGTAAATTATTCACTCTCTCATTTTCCTCCCATGACAACCTTACAAGGGCAGTGCTGGTCCTCTCCACATTGGATTGATGAGAACAGTGGGTTGCGGGGGCGAGAGCCCCGTCCAGAGGTCACAGTAGTAAGATACACGAAGTGGGACTAGAACCCAGGTCTCTCTGACTCCGCAGCTGGTGCTCGTAAAGAGTAGGCTGCGGGTTTAGTTCTGTGCTTGTGCGGAAAACTGGCCACAACCTGTATTTGGCATCTCCGTGATTTCAGATACCAGGTCTCTGAAACGTGATGACAGAGTTGAAATGGGAGGGACTGGCAGCCCGAGTGAGCAAAGAGCGCGTTCCAGGAAGAGGGGCTCTCACATGTTAAGACCCTGAGATGAGATGGGCTCGGCATTCCCGAGGGGTCAAGAGAAGGCTAGTGAGGCAGGAGCGTACAGGGCAGAGTGGGGTGGTGGGAGGCACCCCGACAACACAGGTGACTGCCACAGTTCAGAAACGTCATTGGGTCCTGGTCTCAAGCTTAAGAAAGCTGGTGGCAGGGTCAGGGAATTCTCTCTCGAAGCCTCCCCTGGCTTCTTTTTGGTGGAGTGGCTAGATCGGGCCCTAAGGTAATTGACTGAAGAGGGCTCAGCGTGGACCTGCTCAAGGATCTTAAAACCAGCAGCTGAGAACAGAAGTTCATGTCTAATGGGAAATACCCAGCAGTGCCCGGGTGTGTGGATTTAGGTGTGTCATTTTCCCTGGGACAGAGGGATGGGCTGAAGGCTGCAGCTGCTGACCTCCTGCCTTGCATCCCCAGGAAACGGCACCTCGCAGTCGGCAGACCTCCGTATCCGCAGACAACACTCCTCGGACAGTGTGTCCAGCATCAACAGCGCCACCAGCCACTCCAGCGTGGGCAGCAACGTAGAGAGTGATTCCAAGAAAAAGAAGAGAAAGAATTGGGTGAGTGCACAACCAGAGACCTTCGTGGGTACCAGCAGACCAGTATCCCCACCCCCCACCCCCAGAAAGAGCCCCCAGGCTAACTCTTTACTCCAGAGCGTAGACCTTTGGGAGTGGATCCAAAGAAGCTTGTGGGTATGTTTCTACCAAAATTGTGTTGTGCTCAGCCAAGTACCAGGACTCACGAAAATACCACCATCTTGGAGTTTTCTGTTTCATGAGATTTTATGTGACATACTCATCTTTCATTTCATATATGTGTCATTCCCTCCTCCTTGTAACGTTAGCCACAAAGTCCCAGGTACTAGAGCAAAGTTACTCTTCAGTGGTTTCTTTTTAGTTATTATTATTATTTTTTTTTTTTTTTGGAATGTGTATTGCTAATTATCCCATCATTATCCAGAATCCTTATCTGTTTCTTTACACAGTTACCTCTGATGGCATGAAACCAATTTTCTCTGAACGGTTTTTAACCATGCCCTGTAAAGTGAAAGTTTCATAATGTAGATATTAGGAGTTACTGAAAGGTTTTAAACTGGGGTGTTGTACTTCAAAATGGCAAGTTTAATAGACCCAGTCTCCTATGCATTGTTTCTCTATGGTTTCCTTAATCCCAGTGAGCTACTCAAATTTCTGTACAGTGGTGTCTTGAGCAGTTTTTTTCCCATTCTCCTGGGAATATTACACCCACCCACCCAATTTTTTTAAAAGTAGATTCTATGCCCAACATGGGACTTGAACTCACGACCCCGAGATCAAGAGTCGTATGCTGCACTGACCAAGCCAGCCAGGTGCCCTCCTACCGACCCATTTTTAGTTGTGTCAAGGCTGGGGAGCTCTGGTTGGCGTTTGCTGCTCCCTGTCTTCAGTGCAGAGGTAGCTCAGGTTGATCTGAAGCTGGCTAGTGCTCACAGCGCCCCATCCATCAGTGCTGACAGCATCGTGTTTCCATAGTAACCTCAGTGTCTTCATCCATTCCATACACTTCTCCTCATTTTGTGTTATCTTGGATGGGTGGCGAGGTCTGGCCATAGAGCAGTCGCAGTTTGAGGAATTCTGGTTGCTGATGACTTGTGCTGGAAGACCGTAAGACCAGTTTAGCGTGACCCTCTCATCATTCTGATGAAGTTTTTTTCTTCGTTACTAATGGCTTTTAGTCAACTCATCTGCTATGCCTTAAATAGCATTAACGTATGTTGATGTTTCTAATATGCTATTGGTAAAATATGGTCTGCCTTGATTATCAAAGTGATGAGAGAGAATTATTTTCTATGAAAAACCGTGTTTATCCATTTTCTCCAGTTCAAGAACTAAAACTTATTTACTTGCATTAAGACGGTTCTTGGTTATTGGTAGAAGGGAAGATAAAGAATGGGCATTCTCAGATGATCTCAAAGCTGAATTCTGTCTAATCTTTGTCATTTCCTCCTCCACATGGCCCTTTTTCAGAGGTAGGGGCAAGTCTTGAGGTTGGTGGTTTGTGTGCCAGATCTTTCTGTTTCTGTAACTGGAAATTTGATGAAAAGTAGGAACTGGGATCTCGATCAGCCGCACTTGGATGTGCCATTCCTTATGGATCTAATATTGATGAGCAAAAAAATCCCATTAACTATTTCAGAATGGCCTGTTTCAGAATTTCTTAATGGCTAAGAAAACCGCCAGGATGTTTTCAGAAAAAAGGTTTTAGTAAAATGGAAATTACTTTTCAAAAGACCTTTTTTCAAAACAAAACTTAACTTTCTTGGTCTAGAAAAATACATGCTTATCATGGCTTTCAGAGAAGACCCTGCACTTTAATTCTTTATGTTCTCATTAGAGTTTCCGGCTCCATCTCATAATTTGGGGAATTTGTGATATGCCAGTCCCTTTTTTCCCAATATAGTTAATAAATTTCTTAGAAATACCTTTTTTTTTTTTGATTAGCAATTGAGATGGCTAATTGGCTAATATCATCTTATGTGTACACAAGGACAGCAGGAACTCCTAAGTAGATCTCTCCGGAGGCGCTACAGCCATGTAGGGACTAGTGCAGCAGTGAAGCTATTCTTGCTGAGAAAAGAAGACACAGACATGCCAAAAAAAAAAAAGTTAAGGCCTTAAGAGACAGAAGTGTGAGAATCACAGGACGGTCAGGGGCAGTCATTTCCACCAAAGAAGCTGGAAGCACTTGGATTGTAGGGACTCCCAGAAGCGCTGTTCCTTTCCTTTCATAATGAAGGAAGATGCCTGTAATGCTCGGGAAGATCCATGTTCCTACCGGAAACCTTCTCTGTGTGTGGTGTTTACTATTGGCCATGTTGTGTCTGAAAAGTCCGAGGCTTTCCCTGTCACTGGCTTTCTCTGTTAAAAATTGTCTTTTTTCCTTCCCCTTCCCCATTTTTTTGCTTGCGTTTTCCCTGGCAGGTCAATGAGGTAAGCAATACCGACGTTAATATCAGATACCAAGCTAACCCATCCATTGATATGACTAATCTCTGCATCCGTCACCATGTCTGAGCATTCCTGCTTTGTTGCTGTGTAACCTCATCCTTCCGCCATCCATCTGCTGAGCCAGGCTCTGTCTTGCTGTTGGCATCTAGCCTCGAAGCAGGAGTAGGCATGGAATGTCACCCACAGGTCCAGTCCTCTGAGCTGTCAGCACCAGATAACTCTTCTTCCCTTACTGCACTGATTCAAGAGAGCTGTTGGGAACCTTTGTCATTGGTGGGGGGGACACGTGGGAGAATTAATTGCTCTTTTGTCTGCATGTCTCTGTTTGGCCAAGGCCTGAGTGTTGGTTGCAGCCCCGGCCTGGCTGACAGTCTCGTGTGTTCAGTTACGCAGCTCCTTCAAGCAAGCCTTTGGGAAGAAGAAGTCCCCCAAGTCTGCATCCTCTCATTCTGACATCGAGGAGATGACCGATTCCTCATTGCCTTCCTCACCCAAGTTACCGCACAACGGGTCCACGGGTTCCACGCCACTGCTGAGGGGCTCCCACTCAAACTCCCTGTGAGTCTGTCCCTTGGGGATGCACGTGGGTCAGACAATGCCTTTGGCCCCCAGGAGCCCTCCCAGATAGGAATGGAGAGGTGTCCTGTTAGCATTCATCTTCTCCTTGGAGTTTTGTACGTCATGCTTTCATAGGACTGGGCATGTTCTTCCAATGCTTTAGGGCTGGAGAGGTCGAGAGAGGAATCTTCCATTGTTGTTCTGATGGCATCACTGGGTGGCCATGGGCAAGGGCTTAACCTCCCTGTTTCCCTTTTTTTATTTGTCAAACTGGGATAATGGTTGTTGGCTCCTTATCTGATTGTAAGGATCAGACGAGGTAAATGGATGTGAAAGGGCTACAACCGTCTTGCTGAGAGGGGAAGATAGTGTTATGAGTGTTAGTTTTTGCTGAAATTTTTAGTGCATTTTTTAAATTTTTTTTTTTTAATTTATTTGACAGAGAGGGAGATCACAAGTAGGCAGAGAGGCAGGTGGGGGGGGGGGGAAGCAGGCTCCCTGCTGAGCAGAGACCCCCCGATGTGGGGCTCGATCCCAGGATCCTGGGATCATGACCTGAGCCAAAGGCAGAGGCTCAACCCACTGAGCCACCCAGGTGCCGCTTAGCTCATTTTTGTGGCAAGACTTAAGAGATTATGCCATCCTTCTCTGATCAAAATTTGGTGTTAACTCTTTCTCTGAGGTCAGCCCTCAGCAACTGGAAGTTTAACAAATGGAGAAGACTCGGTGATATAATTCTCTTTACCAAAGGGTTCTATATTTGGTAAAATGATTGGTCACCAGGGACTCCCCTAGTAAATTTTAAATGAGTCAATTTGTAAAGAACTTTTCGGGAATGCAGCTGCTTCTGTTAAGTGAGACAAGTGTTTGCTCATGTGACATTGGCTTAGGTGCCATTTCCCTTGGCAACGAGGTACATAGATAGAGTCCTCTTCTCTTGCCCAGCCAACCTCCCATGGTCTCCACTGAGCACCCACTGATCATTGCTCCATCAGGGGTGTAGGGAGACAGTCCTCTGCCCCATCTAAAAAGAAAATCCCAGACTCGAGAGGCAGGAGCACATCAGGAATGGCTTGAGATGGACAGATGGGGACCCAGGTGTCAGCTCAGAGGGTGGCACAGCCAGCCAGCCCCCTGCAGAGGTGAGAAAAATCGCCCCTGCCCCATCGGATGAAATTCCCTTAGAGGCCATGGTATACCAGGCCAGGAGTGAGAGAATTGCAGCCCAAGTGCTTTGCAGGGACAGTTGATGAGATGAGACCGTGCCCAGAAGAGAGCCACTGCGGCTGAGGTTGGATAAGAAAGTGGGTGTCTGGACATGTCAGTTTCATCATGGGTGAAAATGAGGTTAATTTCATCTACTTGCCTGGATTCTTGTGAGGGCCCAGTCAGATACTATGCATGAAGGACCTCCTTCCTCTGCCCCTTCCGTCTCAGGAGGCCAGATGTAGGGAGCTGTCCCTAAGTCCACTTAGCCAGCAGGCCACCCTGCTGAAGACAGCAGCCGCACCTGTGTCCCAAGGCTGACTTATGGGATGGGTGCAGGTAGTGTGGATGAGGGACTCGGCTGAGTCTTTGCAGCGCACCAACTGCCTGGACACCACATAAGGCAGGAAGTGAGTGACAGGGAACAGCAGAGCCTCTACTTCTCCTGGCTTCTGCTCTTGCTCCATGCCAGGCACCGGGTACAGCAGTGAACCAGATGGATGAAGTTCCAATTCTGATAGACCCTGTATCCTCGGGTGAGAGGCAGACATGAAAGAAATCTGAATAAACTAGAAAACAATGAGCTAAGGGTTCACACTGGGAATTAAAATGGTATGTTGGGACACAGAGTACCTGGCAGCAACTGTGGATGGGGCGGCCAGGAAAGGAGGGGATATTCCAGCTGAGATCTGCATGATAAGAGGGACCACTAGTAAGTTCTGCTCCATAACACTAGCTGCTGTAACATATGCGGTCGCAGGGCTCAGTGGCTTGACACGGGACTGTTGATCTCTGGTTCACTCGGAACCTAGGACAGGTATGCATCGTCAATCAGCAGGCGGCCTGCCACAGAAGTCTCCTTCCATCTTCTGCACGAGCCATCCCACAGGACCTGAGTCCTCTGCTGAGAACTCTGTGTCCAGCCAGCAGGTGGGAAGTGGGGGAGGGGAGAGAGTGCAGGAGAGTTTTATGGGCCAGGCCTGGAGAGACACATGTTCCCTCTTCCCAGTCCACTGAGCAGGGCCGTCCCACCCACAAGGGAAGAAGTGAAATCTCGCACACAGGAGGGGAAGGAAATAGGCTCCCTGCAGCATTCCTGACCCCCCCCCCCAAGAGAGCTCAAGGAGCCTAAGGTGGAGACAGGCTGGGTGTGGCTGGGGAGGAGGGATGGTCCCTGTGTGGCAAGTGTGGCTGCTGCATGATAGGAAGTAGGAAAGTAGCAAGAAAGGAGGCCATGGAAGGAGGCAGGGCCAGAACATGGGAGGCACTGAAGTCAAAATAAATTTGCATCTGCTTCTATGTGTGATGGGTTATCAGCCATTGGAGAGGTGTTTTGGGTTTTTTGTTTTTGTTTTTGTTTTAAGATTTATTTATTTTAGAGAGACAGCCACACAGGGTAGAGGGTGCAGAGGGAGAGAATCTCAGGCTGAGCACAGAGAACTATCTCAGACTCGATCTCACGACCGTGAGACGTCATGATCTGAGCCAACATCAAGAGATGGACACTTAACGGACTGAGCTACTCAGGCAGCCCATGGAGAGGTTTTTTTTCCCCCCCTAAGTTTATTTAAGTAATCTTTACATCCAGTGTGGGACTCAAATTCATGACCCCAGAATCAAGGGCCATATGCTCCACTGACTGAGCCAGCCAGGTGCCCCGTGCACCAGAGAGTTTCAAGCAGGAATGTAACATCATCTGAATGTATGTTTCACAAGGATCAGTCTCCTCCCTGCAGATAAGGAATTCGGGGGAGCAAGAGTGGAAGTAAGGCAACCACGTAAAGGCTAATAGCACTCTCCCCTTTGTCCACCCCACTGTGGGCTCTTTCCTATCCTTGGAACACTCCAGTCACACATCCCCGGGCCTTTGTCCTTTCTGTGTCCTCTGCCTGTCCCACTCCTCCCCTAGATACTCTCTTTCTTCAGGTGCTCAGTGTTTCCTTCTCACTAATGCTTTGCCTGCACCCCTTGTGTAAAATAGCCCCCTCCCACAGCCAGCACTCCCCATCACCCCCTTAGCCGTGTTCTGTTTCTCGCCATGGCCTGTGTCACCACCTGACGTGTAGATTTCCTCAAGTTATTTGTTCTTTGTCCCCACTACACCCCCCCAAAAAATACAGTATAAGCCACAGGGAGGTAGGCACTGTTGGATTTGCAGACATTCAGATATTAGATGAAACATGGTGATTCGTAGTAGTGAGTCCTGGATGGATTTTAAGCTGTGTTCTAGAAGAAAGCTGACAGCATGTGGAGATGTCAGGTGTGAAGGAAAGAGAAGAAGAATCCTTGAGTATTCTTAGATTTGCATCTTGCGTACCTAGGTATGTGGAAGCATTATTTCTGGAATAGGTGGAAGGCATGGGCAGGGCAAGGCGGCTATCAGAAGCTCTGGCTTGACTGTGTAAAGTCTGAGCTGCTCAGGAGACACCCATGCGGAGATGCCAACCAGCCTGGGGCTCCTGGAGGTCTAGATCTGGGAGACGTGGGCTCATAGGTGGTCCTGAAGGCTGAGAACCTGGAGGATTCTCCACAGGGCTGGATAAAGATAGAGAGGAGCCAGAGGGCCAAGGACTGAGCTCGGGGTGCTCTGACCTCGGGGTGCGCAAGGAGAGCAGCCAGCGAGACAGGGAGAGGTGGGAGGAAAACTGGAAGCAGAGAAAAGAAACTGCTGGGAGGGAGGCGGTAGCTGGACCACGTGCTGCCAGGCAGTCGGGGAGGATGAGGGAGAGTGGGTGACGCACTTGGCCATGCAGCCTTCCCAGCAGCCATCTCGAGAACGCTGCCTCCAAACCCGCTCTCCCATAGGGACTGGGCGGGGCAGACTCTGGTCTGCTGCCCTTCTCCAGCATTCCACAGCATCCGTGCACACTGGAGATGTTTGTTTTTGGTCTGGTTTTCCAGCGGGTGGGCAGAAAGCAAATGCTTCTTTCCAACCTTGAAGGGTTTGTAAGAATGTGCAAATCTAGAAGTGAGAGGAAGTTCAAAGAAGAAACCCAAGGCAGAGGAGTCGGGGGCCCAGAAAAGTGCCTACCCTGTGGGCGAAAGGAATGGTAGTGTGGGAAGGCAGTGGTTCCCACACTTGAGGCATTTAAAATTAGGTATGCCACCAGCCCTGCATCTGGCCGGGACAGCGGAAATAGGGGAGTAACATGGTAGGGACTGAGTAGGAAAAAATCGACATCAGGTTGCTTCAGTAAGTGGTCCATGAAGTGGATGAGCATGTACTGAGTGCCTGCTGGATGCATTTCAGGAGCATGGGCTCTAGACTTAAGTAGACCCACCAGGTTTTATCCTGATTCTGTTACGCTGATTTTTTTTTTTCACGGGCACGGTAATCTCTCCAGGACTCACCCTCCCCCTGTTTGAAAGGGGATAATTGTAATACATCTCCACGGAGTTAGTAGTGGATGGAGCAAACTGATACTCTTCGGCTACCTGGCACAGTTGTTTGTGTATTCAGTAAGCATTTGCTGAGCACCTATTACATACTGGTCAGTGTGATTAGGCACCGGAAATGATGCAGAGAACCCTGGTCTTGGAGCAGCCAGCAGCCATGTAGGGAGTAACCTGTTGAGTGCAACCAAATCTTCGGAGACGTAACAGAAGGCTACCGTGGAAGGAACCTGGGCACTAGGGTTAGAGACTAAAACTTAGCTGGGACTGTTGCAGAAGAACTTAGTTTTCGGGGCACCTGGCTGGCTCAGGTGGTGGATTCTGCCAGGCTCTTGATCTCGGGGTTATGGGTTAGAGCCCTACGTTGGGTAGAGAGATTGCTAGAAAATTAAAGTTTTGAACTTTAATTTTGAACATCCTCTCTGTGTTGAGTAGGACATACCTTCCATGTCACCTTGCAGTTGTGTGTTTCTGAGAACTGGGCTATTTTAGGGGAGCACAGTACTCTCAGTGCACTTATTCTCAACACAGACTTTATCTTAGTTTGCTTCTCTTTGCCAAGTCATTGGCCAGGTTTTGCAAAGTAGCCCGTGTGTTCTATCCCACAAAGTGGGTGCTGAAGAAGTCTTGTCTCTCTTGCTGCAAAAGCTTTCTTGGGGAAAGGCACAGACCATGTGGAGGGGACTGGGGCAAAACGCCTGCCCCAGAGGGCCAGACACACCAGATTGACGGTGTGAATCAAAGCCAACTACTCCCTGCAGTGAATTAGAGCCTCCAAGGTCTGTGCGGGGCACAGTTTAGCAGTGAGTGGAGTGTCATGATGGAATTTTCTTCAGACTTCACAGTCCATTTAAACCAGGAAACCATACTCTCTCAAGAAGAAACCAGTGTTTGTGAGCTCCCGCTGCAAACCTTGGCAAATCAGAAAAGGCGTGACTATATAGTTAAACCTTATAAACCGTCGTTTAGTCAAAGCACAGAGGTGGTGGGTGGGAGAGGAGGGTCTGAAGTTATTTTCTAGCCTCTTATCCCAGATCTGTTCACCTTAGTTTCTCAAAGGCATGGAGTGGGAATAATCATAACATTTTCAGGTGTTTGTTAGAGGTTTTAGAAGATTTTGAAGCTGAGAAACTTCCTTGGCCGCTAACCACTTTTAAAAATCAGAGGTAGTTTTCCTCTCTTACCATCTCTCAAATGAAAACCCTTCAAGTGCAGGTTGAGAAAATAACAACAAAAAGATTTGGCCATTCAGGTGTTAAACTTTTCTTCTAGTCCTTTCTGCCCCCAAATACATTACATCTCTTTTAACAATTATAAATGGTTTCCCTCTGGCAATGAATGTTTCCACACCCTCAACCAGTTTTACAGGTCAGGCTTTTTTTGGCCTCAAATCCAGGACTTGGTCTTGGAGAGTGGGCTCCACAATTACTTCTGCAGAGACCACACGCTCACCATGTCCTTCGGAGATAATCAGCTTCAACTTTGTGAACGTGGTTTGTTCTTTTTTTTTGTTTATTTGGGGTTTTTTCCTCCTTTTTTTTCTATCTTCAGTCCAAGAAATGTCAAAGCTGCTTATCCTGGATCACGCCTAACTCCAGATCCAATGAGCTTTGAAATCAACAGACTTTTTTTTTTTTTTTTTTGAGAGTCCCCTTTTCTAGCGTGGCCATTCATCATGACTTTTATGATCTTCCATTTAGTGCTGCTCGCCAGGTATCTGAACAGCAAACCTAAGCCTAGGAGGACCACCTCTTAAGACAGAGGGACTCCACGGGGTCCCGGGATCCCCTGATCTGGCATGCAGCTGGAAGGACATCCAACCTCACACTATTGTTCGGTTTTCACATAAAACTGGGACTGCTGTGTCGTATCTTCCTGTCTGCTCTCTGATGATCTGAGAGGTTTCTCTTCCTTACCATGAGCTTATGAAGCAGTGTGGGCAGGTGGGGGAAGGAAAAAGTGTTGCTCTTAAGACACTTAAAAGATTGAAGGTTTTTTTTTTTTCTTTTTAAAGATTTTATTTAGGGACGCCTGGGTGGCTCAGTTGGTTAAGCAGCTGCCTTCGGCTCAGGTCATGATCCCAGTGTCCTGGGATCGAGTCCCACATCGGGCTCCTTGCTCTGCGGGGAGCCTGCTTCTCCCTCTGCCTCTGCCTGCCATTCTGTCTGCCTGTGCTCACTCTCTCTCCCTCTCTCTCTCTCTCTGATAAATAAATAAAATCTTAAAAAAAAAAAAAAGATTTTATTTATTTATTTGACAGAGGTCACAAGTAGGCAGAGAGGCAGGCAGAGAGAGGGGGGGAGGCAGGCTCCCCACCGAGCAGAGAGCCCGATGCGGGGCTGGATCCCAGGACCGTGAGATCATGACCTGAGCCGAAGGCAGAGGCTTAACACACAGATCCACACAGGTGCCCCAAAGATTGAGTTTTAGAATGCGACCCAGAATAGATTAACACCTTCTACTGGAGTCTTTCGGTTATTTTCACTTTTGAGCAAATAAAAGTCACCCCCCAGGGGTCTGAACTTAGAATGTCTAATCTCTAAAACAGACCGTTGACCCTCCTTCTCTGAGTGAATTTATATCTCAAGGGCCATGCAAAGTCATTATAGGGCCCCAGCTGTGTACACATTGGGATGGGGGGCCGGTTTCAAACCCTGAGTGTTACTACTCCCTTTTGCCGGCTGCTGTTTATCCCAGATTATTGGAATTTTGCTGAAGGGCACACCAAAGCCATCCTGATAGCCTGACCTCTGCCAAGAAAGAGCACAGAGAAGCAAGTCAGTCTGTAAATCTCAAGCTTTGGTATCATGGCCTCCGGGAAGCCCTGCCGGCTGGTCAGACGGGGTGACTGCCGAACAAACCTGCCGACGGATAGGGACCGGTGGTCAGTGGAGGACTCAAAGGAGCTGAACCCAGAGCTGCTCCCATCAGCAACACGTCTCCTTCCCTAGCATTTCAGAGTGCATCGATAGTGAAGCTGAGACAGTCATGCAGCTCCGGAATGAGCTGAGAGACAAGGAGATGAAGCTGACCGACATCCGCCTAGAAGCCCTCAGCTCCGCACACCAGCTCGACCAGCTCCGGGAGGCCATGAACAGGATGCAGGTGAGCCCCGGAGCGGGGGCCCAAGCCCCAGGCTGTCTGGGAAGGAGTGGTGAGGGGGCTGCTCTCCGCCACACAGCCCCAGGGCCGCCGAAGGTGGCAGCCCTCTGCCTTTCGAACCTGTTTCTCCGCTCTTACCTTTTTTCTTTCTTTTCCAAAGTAGCAAGGCTCCTTCTCGTCTCATGCCTTTCCCGGTATTGCTCAAAGTTGAGTCTGTCTGTCTGTTTGTTTGTTTGTTTGTTTGTTTGTTTGTTTATTTATTTTCATTTTTATTTGACAGAGATCCTAAGTAGGCAGAGAGGGGGTGTGGGAAGCAGGCTCTGCGCTAAGCAGAGAGCCCAATGCGGAGCTCGATCCCAGGACCCTTAGATCATGACCTGAGCTGAAGGCAGAGGCTTTAACCCACTGAGCCACCCAGGCGCCCTCAAAGTTGAGTCTTTTCAGAGTAATGGCAGAACCGTGCGCCCCCGTCTTGTGTGCCTTCCGGCAGCTCTGCCGTCCCATCTTGCTTGCGGCCGTTAGAGACTGCTACGGGATCCTTTGTTAACCTGGAATCTGCCACCCGCCCACTCGCAATTCCAGTTTCCAGACTCATCAGCCAGAGGGAGCCCCTGACTGCTCCCTTTGCCTGCGCCAGGTATTTCTGTATCCTAGTCCCGGTGTTCCCTCCGCAGGGAGAGCCTTGTGCACGGCCAGACCAGACCCTTCCCTGAAGGATTAGCCTCCCTCTCTCCATAGCTTTTCCAGGTCCTGCATCTGCAAGAGTTAGTGCCCTCATCTGGATTCCTCCAAATGTGTTCTTAGAGCCCCTCCTTCCCTCCCCCCGAGACTAGAAGTCGTTTGGGTCTTCTGGCTACTCTTTCTCTGCGTTGTTTTCTCTGGATGTAGCTCCGGTGCTATGCACGTGGTAGCTTTTCCCTACACATGTGTAGAGAAGAAAGACCCCTGTGGGCTCTGCCACATGGGGCCTCACTGGAGAACCAGCGTTTCCCAAAGGAGGTTCCATGGGACACTTGTTCCATGAGAGGCTCTGTGAACGGAGAGCTCCTGGCTCAGCTGTGTTCAGGACTGCTGCACACTCTGACTCCTCTGAGCCCTACCATGCAGAGCAGCTCCTAAAGGCTCTGAGCCCTACAGAAAAGAAGCCCACCAAGCCCAGAGTCTCATAAACCTCTTGTATTGTAAGACTCTCAGTTAAGATTCAGACAACAGGGGCGCTTGGATGGCTCAGTGGGTTGAAGCCTCTGCCTTTGGCTCAGGTAAGGATCTCAGGGTCCTGGGATCGAGCCCTGCATTGGGCTCTCTGCTCAGCAGGGAGCCTGCTTCCCTCCTTTCTCTCTCTCCCTGCCTCTCTGCCTACTTGTGATCTCTCTCTGTGTGTGTCAAATACATAAATAAAATCTTGGAAAAAAAAAAAAAAAAAAAGACTCCGCAGACTCTGGGAAGCATCTCTGAGTCTTTCCAAAGGCCAGCTCTCCACAAGGGTGGCCCTTGCCTCGCCAGACAGGTCTTGTGTATACCCAAGAGCAGCCAGCACAGCCGGACCTCTCCGATGGTGTGATTGGCTGGGCCTCGGCTGGGATTCCCACCTCATCCCTGCAAGGGACTTTCCAGTTCCTGCTCCAGAAGATGCTTGTTTGTGTTCCATCCACCTAGTAAGCGAACCTCTCCCTTACTCTTTGCAGAGTGAAATAGAGAAGCTGAAAGCTGAGAACGACCGGCTGAAGTCCGAGTCTCAAGGCAGTGGCTGCAGCCGGGCACCCTCCCAGGTGTCCCTCTCGGCCTCCCCTAGGCAGTCCATGGGCCTCTCCCAGCACAGCTTGAACCTCACGGAGTCAACCAGCCTGGGTGAGTGGCATCCCGGGGGTGGGGGCAGGTCAGGGCCTACAGCTGGCGCTCCAGTCTCCAAGGAAGAGCCCCGAGATAAGCAGATGAACAGATCAAATGGAGAAGCAACAGGCGTGCGTGCACTTGGGGTGTGTGTGTGTGTGGGTGTGCGTCTGCTACCGACATGAGCTCAGCCGTTAGACTGCTGTCATGCTTTGCTCCAGTGCCCCCAGTTCTCCAAGCCATGAGTTTGGATCCTCTTGTCCGCCATGCTGAGTTCCGTTTGATCCATTTTAAGAGGCTGACCCACAAGCTGAATGCTGCATAAAAACCCCGTAGTAGCTGGTCGCAGCTGGGGCAATGGCTTGGTCTGTGGTATTTCTGCCTTCAGGATGGATTCCCGGCCAGCACCATCATGAGCCTACACGAGCTAGGTTTTCTTTGTAAGCATATGGAGGCTGACGCTTTGATTTCCTATCCATGATGCTACGTTGCTCTCATTTTGGTTGAGCCCCTGCCTCGCACTTCCGTTTGGCAAGGCACATCGTGAGCCTGCTGGTTCTTTCGTTGGTCCACCATTGGTTTCTGTGGTTGCATTCTCCATTCTGCCCTCTCCCCTTCCCCTACCCCACCCCACGTCCCTGCACCCCGACACCTGGTTTGTCCTGCTGCCGTGCCAACAAGCAGCGGGGGTGTCAGGAGGCCGGCTTTGCTGTCCCCATGTGCCTAAGGCTGTTGATGTTTTCCATTCGCAGACATGTTGCTGGATGACACTGGTGAATGCTCGGCTCGGAAGGAAGGAGGCAGGCATGTTAAGATAGTTGTCAGCTTTCAGGAGGAAATGAAGTGGAAGGAGGTTAGTTGGATCCCTTTCCCCACTCTGCTTGTCCCTTCTCCAGGTAGAACTACCTAGCTTAGTGATGGCATCCTCAGACGGCATCACCTCCACGCGCAAGGTGATTCGGAGGTCCTACTAACACTTTCCTTAACTAACCACAATCTCTGGCAGCATTTTGACACAATTAACGTGAACAAATGGCCCCTCCCTCCCTCTCGTGTTTGGAAAGCCTAATAATACTAAAAATCGTCCCGTCCCACTTGCACAGAACTAACGAAACACTAACGTCAGATCCTAACTGACTTTAATGTGTCCAGAAAGAAGGCAGCTAAGCACAGTTAGCACAGAAGGCACGGAGGCAAGCCGACCCAATGCAGCCGACCCAGAGCACCAGTCTTGTCCAGGGTTCAGAGCCCGCGAACAAGGTGGGACACTGAGGTGGCTGATGTGAAGCCGGTGGGGCGTCCTGACTCCCCAGGCTGAGGAATCTGAGTTTTCTGAGTAGTTCTAGTTCTATTCCAGAGCCTGAGGAGGCCACACCCACACTAGGGACAATTTTGGGAGTAGGGGTGGGGGTTGGCAGAGCTGACTTTTCGTCATTGAGTCAGTCCACATGATGCTGAAATGACCCTCTCAGAGAAGCGAGAAAGATTTCATGAGCGGTTATTTCAGGTCCTCTTCAGCTGTTTGTTTGCTGTTTCTTGGCATCCTTGCCGACACACTGTTTGTCGTGGAGGACTGCCTGGGAGCCTGCCATGCCCACTGCAGCAGAGCCGTCTATGGCCAGACCCTCTTTGCCAGAGGATTCTACGGTGTGGCTGGCCCTCCGGTCTTGTAGAAGGGGGAAGGCCCAGAGTTTGGAACTGCCAGTGACTTTTCTCCTCATCGAACCTAAAAATACGTATATTTTTATATATAAAAACAAACCTAAAGAGGTCCGTTTTCAGAGCTTAAGTCATGGCATGATAGGACTGTCAAGGGAACAATTCATTCTTAGAACGTTCTTAAAAAAAATTCAGGGGACACCTGGGGATGTGCCTTAATCCAGTGATCTCAAGAGGAAGAGATCGATTCTACATTTTACAGAAGCTTGAGTCCCTTGAGAAATTGTACTGTTCTGGATCACCGCAGGATCCAGGTGAAGCGGGTCAGCTGGACGGCGTCCCCTCCGTTTTACAGCTGAGAAACTTGTCACCCAGGTGTCGTTTACTTCAGGTCACAGGGTGACTGGTGAGGCAAGATCGTCTCACCGTAAGACTGGTGCTCTTTTCTCTGCTGACTTTGCTTAATTGCCACACACACCCCACCCCTTGCTGCCACTCTCCTAATTCTCTATCCTTATGAGCCTGTCAGAGCTAAGATTTTAAAATGCAACAAAATGGAATAGTCTATTAATTTTTCTTGAATCATTGTGATTAATGAGCCCTACCCTGTGCAGAGAGCCCTGTGGGCAAAATTCAAAAGACATAGAAAAAGTATTTTTTGTGTGTCAACTTCCCAGAGTTTTCCTTGTTTTCTGAATTGAGTATGTTTTAACTTTTAATTAGCAGTAAAGCAATAAACTTTAAAAAAGAAGAGGAGAATCGAACATATTCTGTCCTGAAGGAGTTTAATATCTAACAAGGAGAAAAACTTGATTTACAAATAAGACATGAATACCTAAAAGTAAATAAGTACAGAATATGTTCCTGTATCAGTTCGGTACAGAACCAGTGAAGCAATGGGAGCTCTGAGCCTGATGGGTTAATCATTGAAGGCTTCCTGGAAGAGGTGAGTTTGCAAGCAAGGTTTGGAAAGGGAGAGATGGCAGATAGGAGAAGGGACAGCATTCCAGGCCAGGGACGTGATCTATGCACTATACATGGCACACCTTTAGAAGGTTCTCGATTCCAGAGAGGAGATCCTCTCTTCCTGATCCACGGAGTACTGTTTTTGCAAGAGAGCAGGGCAAGTTTTTAAGATGATTGTTTTCCATCTACGGTGTGTCTGGTGTTATAACAAATGGGACTTTTATTCCCCTCTCAACCCATTGGTGGCGCTCTAAGGCAATCTGCGTCCTTGCTAAACTGTGTCAGAAAAGATCGGCCTGTTTTTCACCTACATACATTTCCTTACCCTTAGGATTCCAGACCACACCTCTTTCTTATTGGCTGCATTGGAGTTAGTGGCAAGACGAAGTGGGATGTGCTCGATGGGGTGGTTAGACGACTGTTCAAAGTAAGTGTCAAAGAGGACGGCTACGGTCATCTGCCTGAAGTGTGGGGGCCCGGACTCAGGGAGGGAAGGGGTGGTGTGTGTGTGGAACATGGCCACTGCTTGGGTCTGCCCCCATCCTTGTGTTGCTGGGACTTGTCTCTGGGCACTTGTAGTAACAGGAGGATGGTGAGTACTGGCTGGTGACTCGGCCAGCCTGCCCCTGGCTACCCTTGGCAGTGGTCGACCAGCCCATGAGAGTCGTTTCCCTGGCCTCAGGCAATTGTCTGAGCCTCGCGTGGTGAACTGCTAGTTGAATATTGAACTGACTTAGAATATACTTTGGATTGAGTACCTTGTGGCCAGGGCCATTTCCGTTCTTCATTTCTGGGGAACTTGATCCGACTTGCCCAGCCAACACTTCAGAGTCTGTGAATGATTTTCACTTTCTGTGACATTAATATCTGATCGATGGCCAGAGTCAAAGAAGCTGGTATTTCCATATTTGTTCTGGTCACATCACTGGAATAACCAGATGTTTCACCTGAAACATCTGGTGCTCAGGTGAACCTCAAGCACAAGGTGGTTTGGAAGAAGCTTCTTGGACATCTTTTTTTCTACTGTCCTCAAGGGAGTCAGCAATCATAAGTGTTGAGTAATCACATCCCCTGCGTAGTATTGGTAGCCTGCATTTTTGGTGCCAGAGACCATCCTAGCATTAGCCCCGACTTATTTCCAGGCCTGTGAGGAAGGTCCTATTATTTTCCCACTTAAACAGGAAGAAGGTAAGGCTCCGGTCACTTGCCCAAGGTCATGGAGCTAGAATGCAACCATGTTGATCCAGCTGAGTTGGTGTGACTTTAGAACGTGACTTAAATAGTATACGCCAGTCTCTTTCTAGCTTCTAGATTAAGGTGGCTTCTCATGCAGGAAGCCCTATTCTCCAGCCAAAGATCGTTGCCCATCTTGGCAGGCTGTGGAAATGTGACCAGGCAAGGGATGGAAATGGCTGAGGCAGACCTGCCCTGCTGCCCAAAACTGAGCTCTGCTGTTGGGGAGCTGGGCCATCCTCGGATTAAAAAGACAGCAGTTTAGGCTGAAAAGAGCCTGTGGGGTATCACGGGGAAGGAAGTGAGACCATTAAAGGTCACGAGGCCTGTCCTTAGTAACTCTCCGTCGGTCATCATCCAGCTACCTCCTCGCCCACAGACCTCCAGGCCAGATTCACTGACCTGAAACCTTTTGGTCACTCACCTCAGAGGGCGTACTTTCCAAATTAAACACAGTTTTTCCTGTTTAAAGATCAAAAGCTGCTTTTTTTTTTCTTGCAGCCCTGGGGTTTGCTCCTTTTATCATCAGTGTGGTGTTTGCTCTGAGCCAAGGGGAGGGGCTGGTGGAGAGTTCTTGTCAAAATTTCTCTCTCACGAGTTTTCCAGCACTATTCCCAGGCCCTGGTGTCTTCAGCCTAACGTTTCCTTGCTTGGTTCATCCAGACTAAACGTTCATGATTATGTTAGGGCTCTCTCCATGTCACTAACCAAATAAATCTGTACTTAAAGAGGCCTGTGGTACTCAGGTCACCATCCCCATAGAAAGTTCTCCCCCCCACCGCCCACCCTTCTCGTTCCACAGCTCGGTTTCAACCCAGGCATCACCTGAGAGAAAAGATGATCAGAAATCCCTCAAGGAAAACATGAGTCATGGGCAGATTTCTAGCCACATCTTTGATGGGGTCTTGACTTTATTCTTCCCAGGAATACATCATCCATGTCGACCCCGTGAGTCAGCTGGGGCTGAATTCAGACAGTGTTCTGGGCTACAGCATTGGGGAAATCAAGCGCAGCAACACCTCGGAGACCCCCGAGCTGCTTCCCTGTGGCTATCTGGTCGGCGAGAACACGACCATCTCTGTGACCGTCAAAGGTAATTCGGCCGACGGCGGAGGTCAGGGTTTTTGGGCAATTGCAGTTTTTGTTTTGTGACATGGCGTAGGAAACCATGGCCACCGTTTGGTTGGCACGCGTGTGGGGTGGGGGGCAGGCTCTCTAACCCCTGCAATCACAATCGCTCTTACCTAAGCAAGTTCAATGGCCTTTAGCTTTTTCTACCACTGCCAGAAGCAGATAGTTTTAGTTTATTGCTGAATTATATAACAAAAGGTCCCATTAAGCCTTATGACTCTGAGATGTTGGCATCTTAATAGCCCTGCGGAAACAGGGCTCCACCAATACCCATGGGTTGCTCTTGCCAGCCTGCCTTGGACATGGTCCCGTTCTACAGGTGGGAGCTGCTCTCACCCACGCACGGCCCTGCTGGCGTCTCCGGTGGCCTTATCACCCGGGGATGCTAGGCCCCTGGCCAAAGTGTGTGCCAAGGGATTCTCAGCCCACAGAGGATCTTGTGGGGGCAGAATCCTGGCCAAATGAGTCTAGCAAATTGCATCATTGTGTATTCAGGGGACAGGAAGACAGGAGTGTACGGGGGCACTAACACCATCCTCGGATACATGGACTCCTACCGGGAAGAAGGCTGTTGAATTCAATCTGACACAAATATATTTGACGGCAAAACCCCCCTTTCCCCTATATTTTATGCACTTCCCCTCACCCCCGCCAAAGAATGGATTAATGAACACTATACAACCTTCAGGTTGTCCCATCTTACTTCCCTGTAAGGCACAGCTTTTTCTTTTTTTTTAAAAAGATTTTATTTATTTATTTGACAGAGAGAGCATGCACAAGCAGGGGAGAGGCAGGCTGAGTGAGAGGGAGAAGCAGGCTGTCCACTGAGCAGGGAGCCTGACACGGGGCTCAATCCCAGGCCCCTGGGATCATGACCTGAGCCTCAGGCAGATGCTTAACCAACTGAGCCACCCAGGCGCCCCAAGGCACGGCTTTTGACTGTAGTTTTAACAGGGCATCTTGGGGGTGGTTTGACGTACGCTTTGCTTCCTGGTTGGAAGGCATTTCAGAAGCGCCCACCATTCCTTAGGAGCATGAATTCTCACCCTGTTCTGCCAGGGACGAGCGCGATGTTACCACCCGAGCCTCACACACAGCCTTCTTGTCGGTGAGCAAAATTGCACACGTGTGGCGTTGGATGCCAGTGACAGGAACCTACCCCAGAGAGCTTTAGTGGGAACACGAAATGCACCTGGAAAATAGCGGGGACCGCTTCAAACGCGTCTGGATCCGGGCATCCCGACAGTACCCTGAGAACCAGTCCTGCCTCAGCTTGGCATATTTTCCGAGCTCTGTGCACGGCTGTAGAAATGGCCTGGGTAGCCCCAATTCATCCTTCTGGCTGGGGAACCTAAAAGTAAGAGAATGTCCTTTTGGAAAAGTGGGACAGAAAATCCTAGCAGGTGATTCTGGCCCACCTGAGTCAAGTAGCCATCACTGAACCACTCATGGCCTGGGAGAAGGTTTGGCCCAGCCTGGGCCCTTGGGTGCTGAAGGTGCTGGGTCAGCCCCACTTGAAGGCCCTGGAATGAGCTCCCCATAAGAAAGAAGAGTCCTGCTAGAAGGGGCAGGAGGAAGGGGTACTAGGCACACCAAAAACTGCTGCTTTACAAAAACCCCCTCAGGGAAAGCCTTATCTGTCACGAGCTCCAACTGCGTTTCATCTGCGCTGGTGAGCGTGCGTGGTCACTTGTAGGTGACAGCTACAGTCACTGAGGGGTGAAAGGAGTGATCCGTCACAGAGACCAGACCTCTGTAGAAACCGGGACGAGATGGTCTGCCAAGGTGGAATGTGCCCGGCCCCCCACCCCAGCCCTATCTGCCATGGTCAGCACACCAGGTTGCTCAACATCTCGAGGGATCCATTCAGGTTTATTTTTAAGTGACACCCGACTTCTGTTTTCCAGCAGTGCTTTAACCCCTGCCTTCAGGACACTGTAAACCATGCAAGAGTTGGAGCTGAGAGATCCGTGGTCTGCAGACAGTCCACTGCAGTGGTCCCGGGGGGTGGGGTGTGGCTGGGCACACCCTGCAGTGAGTTCATGGGCAGAATAGTCACTCCCAGGGGGCTCTAGGGCAAAAAACCAAAAGAGCATCAGCGTGTATGTAGAGAGAGAGGTTTCTGTGGTCTCGTGATTAAGTGTAGACTAGAGACCCTGCATTCCACACTTAGCATCGAGTTCCAGCCAGTGTAGGGTACCCTGAGCTCAGTACCAGGGAAGTCTTAGGCCTGTACCCAGAAGATAAGTCATTTAGAAACCTTCATCGTGCTCATTCTAGAATAGTCTCCTGCATGTAGGGGCCATTCTCAGAAGTTGGGGGAGGGTTGGAAACCAGCATATAAATGCGTTTGTGAGGTCTGTTTGCAGTGAACAATTTCGTAGAAGGAAGATACTACATTATAAAACAGAATAAATGGGGGCCCTGGCTGGCTCAGTTGATCTCAGGCTTGTAAGTTTGAGCCCCACAGTGGGTGTTGCAGAGATTACTTAAAAATGAAATCTTTAAAAAAAAAAAAAAAATAGAACAAATGCTCTTCATTTGACTTTTTACCTACCTACGCTAGTTTCTGAAGGTAAGTTTTAACAAAACTGCTTTACGTTTTAGGCAGTGACCTTGGATGGATCTTCTTTGGAGAATGATATCAAGAAAATAGTTGTTTTTAAAAAGCCAGGATAGGTGCCTCGTTAGCGCAGTAGGTAGCGCGTCAGTCTCATAAAAAGCCAGGTTAAGCATCTGACTTGGTTTTGACTCGGGCCATGATCTCAGGTCTTGGGGTCCCACACATGCTCTCTTTCTCTGACTACAAATGAAAGTTTTCCCCAAAAATAAATAAATAAACAAATAGCCAACAGCCCTGGGGCACCTGGATGACTCAGTCCGTTAAGCGGCTGCCTTCAGCTCAGGTCATGATCCCAGGGTCCTGGGACCGAGGCCCAGGTTGGTTCTCCCTCTGCTCTTCCCCTCTGCTCATGCTCTCTTTCACTCACTCTCTCAAATAAATAAATAAAATCTTCACCAAGAAAAAAAAAGCCAACAGCCCTGACTGGTGGAGCGGTCCCACCTAGGAAAGGGAAAGATACATTTCCTTTCGACATGCTGAGACTCAGAGGTTTTGTTGGGTAGCCTCTCTGCTTCCCCTACCCGTCGTCACATCCCCGAATCAAACTGCATTTCTTCGTTCTCAAGATGAAAGGGTGGCCTCCTTTCTGGCATATCTGAGTGTGGGCAGCAGTGCCTTAGGGCACAAGAGAGAACAGGGTGACCGGCAACTCCAGGGTCTTGGCAGACATGGGAGACTCGGGTCTGGTCTGGGCAGACAGCAGCAGCCCGGTAAATCCAGACAGGAAAGCAGAGCCCAGCGTCTTAGCAATTCTGCAGAGGACAGACAGGGCCCGAGGGCCTGGGTGCCGGAGTGGAGGCTGAGTCTGGGCGAGTTGGCTGAACCAGGTGCCGGGCCAGACAGTGCTTGTGAGCAGACGGACGGCTGTGGCTGCTTGTGCCCTGCCTCCCATGTACCCGGGTGGGCAGTGGTCTCAGGGGGAGTGGCTGCCGTGGACAGAGCTCAGCAGTCCCAGGGGCACGTGCAGAGCCACCTGTCATACAAGGCTCCAGACCCTTCCTGTCCCTCTCCAACGCAGGGCTCGCAGAGAACAGCCTGGACGCGCTGGTGTTCGAGTCCCTGATCCCCAAGCCTATCCTGCAGCGCTACGTGTCCCTGCTGGTGGAGCACCGGCGCATCATCCTCTCTGGCCCCAGCGGCACTGGGAAGACCTACCTGGCCAACCGGCTGTCCGAGTACCTCGTGCTGCGGGAGGGCCGGGAGCTGACTGACGGCGTCATCGCCACCTTCAACGTGGACCACAAGTCCAGCAAGGTGAGGAGGTCCTGTGGAGGCTGCCGCTCATCCGGGGCCTGCGGTGAGTGGCCCTTTCTGGGCCATCGAGGCCACCCCTGCCCTGATGGGGAAGCACGGTCACCTGTGTGGGCTCACTCGGGCTTGCAAAAGCCTGCGGAGGACATCAGGATGGGGGAGCAGAAGGCACAGCGAGGGTGCCACCTGTAAGGAGAGGTGGCCCACCTCTCACTGGCCCGCTCTGAGCTGGCTGGGACGCCCAGTACTATGAGTCCTTTAGGAGCGCCCCAGACGCATCCATTTTGGTTTACTGAGAACTTGTCATGTGCTTGGTTGGTGCTCTTGTTTCTCCCAAATGAAACATCCTTTTGAGGAACGGTGAGGACATGCACAGCTCCCATCACAGACCACTTGCCCATGACCAGCAAACTGGCTGCCTCATGCTCCCCCCTTGAGGGGGAGGTCGTGGCTCCTCTCATGTCACAGAGGCAAGACCTGAGGCTCAAGGCGGGTAGCCGTGTGCCTAGGACCCCTTAATGGTACAGAGCAGTGGACTAGAGGGTAAGTCAGAGTCCTAGACTCCAGAGCTGGCATCAGGCTCAGTCCTGCTTCATGGGGACCCCTGGGGAAGTCTGGACCTGGTCCTGGGAAGTGCTTTCTCAATCCTGTTTGCTGCTCATGCAGTGGGAGGTGATGGATGATTTGCTCAGGCTGGCCCTGAGCAAGGGGACTGGTGAGTCAGAGGCAATTGGGAAATGACTCTTCTGCCTTACGAATCACCTGGCATGCTCAGAAATACAGATTGCTGGACCTCATTCCCAGATAATGGCTTTCAGTAGGTTTGGCAGGCCGGGAATCTGCGCCATTCAGTCTGCTGGATGATTTTTGATGTCAGGGTAGAAGTAGAAGTTTTCAGAGTGCCGGTACCCAGAGTCTCTGTGTGAGCCCGCTTAGGGAAAAGCACCCTGTCCCAGGACCAGTGAGAGCAGGATCCCCCCAGACACGTGGTTGGGGGTCGAGCCCAGGCTAGATTTGAGCCCCCCACCGCACGTTCCCCTTGACCAACACCCTCGGTAGAATGCAGCTTACCAGCCATACCCCACGAGCCTGAGTAGGGGAAGGAAGGCTCTGGAAACTCTGTCCTTGTCAGGTATCCGAGGCCACGAACCCCTGGTGGAAAGAGGCTAAAGGAAGAAGAAATTACTAGTAACTTAAAAAGTGGGGCTTTTCCTGATGCTAGCAAGCCACACTTGGACTTAAAAGGGAGGCCTGTGTGTGTGTTTGTAGGAGGGAGGGGAAGCATCTCCCTCTGAGCTATCGTGCATGGGACCGGCTGGTGTGGTGAGGAGCCCACAGCGAGGCAGGCCCGAGTCTGGAGCCAGGCCCCTAATTCCGATGTGCCCTAGCCTCCTCTTTGGTAAGAGGGAGGGAATCCCTGTGCCCACCCAAGAAGGTGACCGTGGGGCTGCAGAGATTCTGTGTGTGAGACTCTAAGTCCCTGGCCACCATTGCTACGACGGTAACACTAGCAGCCAGGCATTCTGGTGCCTTGCCGCTCGTCTGCTCGCCATTTCAGCCGTTCCTCTTCTGCACCATTATCCTTCCTCCTCCTCTTCTGACCCACATCCCTAACCACAGCCGTGCTGGGATGCATCCTAGTTCCAACCCAAGCCAGTCCCCTACCTCTTCTCCGTAGTTCAGTCCAGAGCTTACCCTTTCAACCAGACCTTCCAGGGCCCCCTCGGCACGTAGGCCCTCTCCCCTGTGCCGCTGGCTGGCTGGCTGTGACAGCACTCGCCATGTGGGGGGAGCGCTCCTTTGCTGTATCTGTCCATCGGGGCTTCTGTGTGAGTGGCTCTCAGGCAGGTGCTGTGGGAGTACAGACGTGTATAAGGCACCTGCCCTCGGGAACTTACTGTAAGGTCGGCATAATAAACAACATCAAAAAAAATGGCAACACTTGCAGAGAAGTGATAGGAGCCGGGAACACAACCGTGCCTGGGCAGCCCACAGTGCCTCAACACAGGCTCACCACAGCCTCCTCAAGGGCCTTTCCACCTGTGTGGACCTGGGCAAAGTGAAGGCTTCAAGCACGTGTGTCTTTATTGGGGAGCATTCCCCCGCTGAGTCTTCCCCCGGCCTCCCCAGGAATTGCGCCAGTACCTGTCCAACCTTGCCGACCAGTGCAGCAGCGAGAACAACGCTGTGGACATGCCCCTCGTTATCATCCTGGACAACCTGCACCACGTCAGCTCCCTGGGCGAGATCTTCAACGGGCTGCTCAACTGCAAGGACCAGAAATGGTAAAGGACAGCTCTGGGCCCCATGGCCCCAGAGGACGGTGGCCACGGGATGTGTGCTACATGGGCACGGTGCCCCCACAGCCCGGGGTCCGTGGGCGGGGTGGGGAAGGCAAGCAGCCATCTGCCTGCTCGGGCAGGCGCCGTGGGCTTCCGAAGGCTCGCCTTTGACTCACCGAGCCTTCTTTTCCGTCCCGTCCCCGCAGTCCTTACATAATCGGCACCATGAACCAGGCTACCTCTTCTACTCCCAATCTGCAGCTTCATCACAACTTCAGGTGAGGCACGGCTGTCGGGCGCCTGTGTCGGGGGGTCGTGCTGAGCATTTTCCCGGGTGTAACCCATCTCGTTCCCACGACAGCCTCAACGAGGTAGACTGATCTTGCAAATTGGGACAGGGAGGCCGAGAGAATTGCTTCACGTGGGGTCACCTGGCCAGTCAGTGGCAGAGCTGAGATGGGAGCCTGGGTCTCCCTGCATCTCTGCCCTGGGGTAGCCGTGTCAAGGACGTGGCTCTGGCCTTGCCCCCCTGCCCTCTGCCTGTCCCTGGTGATGCATCTCTCCTCCCCAAGTGATCCTGAGAAGCGGAAGCTCTTGCTTTTGAGTGTCCTCTCAGAGCTGGGTCTGTGGGGCTTTGTACTCCAGCTGCTGGGAGGCCCTTGCCCTGGCCCTCTACCAAGGTGCTGTCACTGCTGGGATGTGGGAAGTGGAAAGGACTGTCCGGCGCAGTCATGCAACATTGCGATGTGGCTTGCCTTGCTTGGCTGGATGCCCTGTGCCCCGTGCCGCCTCCCAGCTGATTGCCTCGCTGCCCCTCTCCTGCCTGGGCCCTTTGAGACGTCTGGGAAGCCCCTCTGGGCTAGGCCCCTGGCTCATTTTCACTGGCCACTCTGCAGGCATCTCTGAGGGAAAGCTATTAAAAGTGGACCTGAACTGTGATCATCAGAAATGTCGACTCCCCCAGGCCTGAGATCACGGTCAATTCTGCAGCCAGGCTGTCCTGGCTCATCAGTGCTTTCTCCTTCCTCCCCACCACTGCAGCTCCCCGCACACCTTCACTGCAACCCCTGTGCCTGCCCGCAGCCTGGCACCCTGTGGGCCCTCAGCTGCACCAGCAGCAGCTGCGGGAGCGTTCCAGAATCCAGATCTGACCAGAAAACCATCATGCTTAAAGTCCTTCAGTGGCTCCCCATCACCTCCGAAATGGAATCAGACCCTGTGGGTGGGCAGGTCAAGTCTGAACGCTGAATTACACTGGTCACACTGAATCTCTGCCTTTTCCCCCAAAGACCCCACACACCTGTGCAGATGTGGTGGTCTGGTCTCCACCCCCCTTCCCAGCCCCTCCTGCTCTCAGACATCCGCTCCTCCGGGAGGCTTCGCTGTCTCCCCGGGCTTTGTCACGTCTCGTTCTTCTGCTCTTTTACTTCCTCCACTAGACTGTGTGCTTCTGGGGAACAAGGACTGCGTCTTAGTCTTTGTCACAGCCCCAGAGGCCAGTCCACAGCCCAACTTACAGCACGAGACATAGTAGGCTCAGCGGTTAGAGCTCAGACTCTGGAGCTGGACCGTGCTGGTTCTGATCTTAGCCCTTCTGTATATTAAACAGCTGTTTGAACTCGGATAAGCTGTGCAGCCTGTCTGTGCCTCAGCATTTCCATCTGTGAAATGGGGATGGCTGTCGCAGCTCTGTCACAGGGCTGCCCTGAGGGAATTGGGATTTAATGTGTGTGCAGTGTTCAGAGCAGTGAGGCCTGTCCTTGTAACAGAGAAACCTTCCTCTCCTCCAGGTGGGTGCTTTGTGCCAACCACACGGAGCCGGTGAAGGGCTTCCTAGGCCGGTTCCTGAGGCGGAAGCTCATGGAAACAGAGATCAGTGGGCGAGTACGGAATGTGGAGCTGGTAAAAATCATTGACTGGATTCCCAAGGTCTGGCATCACCTCAACCGCTTCCTGGAGGCTCACAGCTCCTCAGACGTCACCATAGGTAGGTGGGAGGCCAGCCAGGGGACAGACGCTGCTCCTGGGGCCCTGGCCGGGACAGCACTTGGCAGGCACAAGTCAGCCAGATGCCACACTGTCCACACGGATGAGAAGGGGACAGAGGGATGGTCACAGCCCGGGCAGACCCTGTGCTGCCGGTCATCAGCATCCGGTTCTGTCTCTTTCCCCCTCTTTGCACAGCCCCTAGGGCTGATCAGAGCTCGCAGCCGGCCTGGGCCAATGCCAGCTCCCTGATGAGCCCCCACTGCCAGGCTCCCCCAAGGGCAGGACACCCGGCGACATGGGGTCCACTTTAAAAATAAAACATAATCAATATTCCCAAAGCTTAAGGTTCAGAGAAAAAAAGACCGATCACCTAATGTTAATTTGAGCTTCGGTGTTCTGTCCTTGTCCGGACATGTAGGCTTTGTGTGGGTGCAAACACAGCGTGCACACAGGATGCTCTTTTCTTTTTTATTTCCCCTTGTCCCCGGAGCGTCTGTGTTGAGGCTCCGTTTTCACAGTCCTTCCCAGAGGCTGCAGAGTAATCAGCTATGACCATACCATCGTTCGCGATTCTATTCTCTGACGCTGGGCGCGCCTCTGATCCCAGCGGGCAGGGTTCAGGGTTCGTCATGTTGCGGTGAACATCTCTCCCCATAAAGCCTCTCCTCTCTCTCGGATGATTTCCTCGTGGGGAGAGAGATCCCGGGGAAGCGGTACTTACACTGCCATTCAGAAAATCACGGGGTTCCTCTTGTTGGGTCTGTTAAGACCGTGGCTTCTCTTAACCCCTCCCCTGCCCCCCCGTTTTGGCTCTGACTGATTTTTCCCTGTGGTCCCCAGGCCCACGGCTCTTCCTGTCATGCCCCATCGATGTGGATGGCTCCAGGGTGTGGTTCACCGACTTGTGGAACTACTCAATTATCCCCTATCTCCTGGAAGCCGTCCGAGAAGGACTCCAGGTGAGGAGCACACTTGCCACAGGCCTCCTCAAAATTGGGATGGGGGCGGGGACTGTTCTGGTGACCAGAAGAGTAGTCTGTATCTCCTCCGTTAGACGTCCGACGGACGTGGCGTGACCGCCCCTCATGGGGGAGCCCCTCTGGCCCGGAATAGGACATATCCTGGCTCTGCCACTGTTAATGTGGGACCCCAGGCAAGCTGGCAGCCTCTCTGTGCCCTAGTGCCCTCGCAGACAGAAGGGGAGAGTGATGGTCCTCCACCACGAGGAGTCACCACAAGGGTTAAATGCAGTCGTGGCCAGAAAGGGTCCAGCACAGCGAGCGCACAAGAGAGGGAAGTGTACAGTTTGGGAAGTAGTCTCCCCTCTGCTATTTGACTCAAGCCCTGCTTTAGTCCCGGAACTTGAACAGAGATTTTTTTTTTTAGTTTTTGTCTCCATTTTTCAGGAGAGGAAAATTAAGGCTCAAAGAGAGTAAGTGACTTGCCCAAGATCATAAAAGGGATGCTTGAAGAATCTGAGATTTGAGTTCAGGCCTCTAGCTTGAAATCCAGGTTCTGAGGCCTCGGCCCCAAAGAACTCACTACCTGCCACCGGGACAGTTTGCCCGTCCCCTCCCCCCACCGGGAAGGACCCTGTGGCCCACGAGGTTGCAAGTCCCTACAGAGCAGCAGCTGGAATGCAGCACCACTCGCTTCTCATGCAGCCCAGCCTTGAATGCTACAGGCTTAGCATCAGATTGGAGCCTGCCCCAGGGGTCACTGTTGAGCCTGGAGGCCCCTGGAGAAGGTCTTAGGCTTGCAGCCCCCACGCTGAGTAATGAGCAGGCATCAGGCACAGCGGAAGAATCCAGGAACCCATCAGGTTCCCAAGGGCTCCTTGGTTTCCTCCATACTGGGCACCTGGAGACCCAGGGGGCTGCTGTATGCCTATGGAGGGCATAGGAGGGGGCACCCCCACGTGCATGTGTGGGGTACAGCAGTGGCTGCAGTCTGTGCGTGTCACTGCTGTACATGTGGCTGAGCCCAGTGAATATGGGACGGCCTTGTGCCACGCAGCGGTGCCCATGGTTTCCGGGGGCGTGTGGGACGGCAAGAACTGGGAAAGGAACATGCTTCTTGTGACTGCTGTTCCATGGAACTGGAGGGCAGGTCCTGCAAATGCAGGGACCCGTGGAAACAGAAGTGCACCGTGCAGACAGACCCTCAAGAAGTTAAGCAGTCCCTTGGTCAGCCCCAAATTATTCCTTGGTCATGTGTGAAGACCATTCCCTGATGGCAGCATTTCTCCTGTGTCTCATGGCTTTCATAAACAAGGTGTGAGGATTCTAGATCTTTGCAGTAAGAATCCCCCTAGGTAGATAAATTCACTGGCCTGGGTCACCGGACCCTAATTTAGTCTTTAATCAGATGATCTGTTAGTGCCACAAAGCCAAGCAGCCATGTAGTCATTCCATTTTCTTGGGCCAGCGGAAGCTTGTCCCACATGCTGGACTCCTGAAGTCTGTTGCATTTCGGAAGCCCCTCTCCTCTGTTTACCCTCCGTGGCTTCCCGGGGCTGCGCTGTGCCCGGCCCTTCTGGGAGACCCCATGCTGCTCAAAACAAGTAGAGGAATTAGAGGTGGAGGAAATGCACCATTTCCTCTTATTTCTGCCTCTCCTTCCGCTTGTTCATTTGCTTCTTCTTTGCTCCAAATTTATCTTGTGATGACGGATAGAGAGTGACTTCAGAGCATTCTTGGAAGAACCCCTGGGCTTTGTTGGTTAAGGGCCGGCCTCCTTTGCGCAGTGAGCCCCAAACCAGGAGTGGGGAGACACAAGGAGTGCTCCAGCCTTGACCTACCCATCAAATGGCTCCCTGTTGGTCCTCACCCAGAGTGGACGTGCCAGGACCCTGCTCCTTTAGACCTGAATTTCAAAGGCCTTCTGGGCACAGAGTGTAAACTGCCCTTCCTGAGGTTCATGGTGAAAGAACATTGTGTCTCCTTCCCACCAGGAGCGAGAAGGCAACAGGTTGAAAGGATTTGGGGATGGCTATAGACCATTCCATCGGGGGCAGGGAACAGAGACACTCTACCATCTCATGGGACTTACCAGTTCAGTGTGAAGCAAGGAAAGTCATGGCTTCCCTATGCTGTGAGGTCATTTGAAAGACTATCTTTGAAGAGTGTGCCACAATTAGCATTTTACCAAGCTGCTCGGAAGTGAGCCACCTTGCCCCAGACCTGTGACCTCATCATCCTGGGGAGCCCAGGAAAACCACCAGAATCTGCTGATTCAAGAGGAAACCTGGTGTGCTCTTTAGGCCTCTGGTTTTGAAGGAAAGTCTGCTGACGTTGACTGAGGGCTTGCTACTTGCTGAGTGCTGCTTGGGGCCTGATGTGCATGATCTCTTATAGTTCTAACAGCTTGAAGATTACCTCGTAAATGAGGAGACAGGCTCACGAGAGTTTTTGACTATTAGCCATGTTCACTCAGTGGGATGAGTGTGATGAGCCAGCATTGGAGGCTGACTCCTCCATTCCTTCTGGGATTTTCAAGCTGTCCTGAGGACCCCCTAACTCCCAGAAGCCTCTGGTGGCTCAGGGAGCAAAGTATTGTGTTTCATAGGGTGGTTTTCTACATAAGATTTCATGTAACAAAGGGATGCCTCTCTTTTTAAAAAAAAATTTAAATTAAAAAATTTTAAATTAAAAAAATTTGATTCCCCACGCCCCCGAGTTAGTGGAATCCACGCTGACTGTGTGCTGGGCACTGTGCGGGGTCACTCCTCACATGACCAGGCGAGATGAGCATGTGGCCATGGGGGTACCGTGGTTCAGAGCAGGCAAACTTGGCCTCCTTTTGTGGAGTCAGAGGCTCACAGAGGCTCAGGAATTCATTGCCATTGTCTCAGCCCACAGCTCCTGAGCCATTGGGCACGCCAGGCGCCTCTCTGCCTAGGGGTAGGTGAATGTCCCATCTGTCTGTCTCTCCATCCAGCTGTCTCCGCTGCTTCCCGGAGCTGCCTCAGGGCCCTGCTGCCGTGGGGCCAAGGAGCTTTTATGATCATTCCTCTGCCTGCCACGGTCCCAGCCCAGCCATTCATCACCTGGTCTTGAACATGTCTAGTGGCGAGTGTGGAAGCTTGTAAAAATATTTTCTGTCCTTGCAGGTGATGTTCACATGGGCCTCGTGTACATTTGTCTGATGACTCAGTTCCCAGTTCTGTTCCCCTTTGGAGCTGTCATTGTAAACATTTGCTGAAGTGTCCGAGGTCTTTAGAGCAACTCAAAGGACCCACGTTCCCTTGTGGGGCAGGGGAGAGCGTTGGGGTCTTTATCAGATGACCCAACCAGCGCTGAGACCCTGGGCGAGTCTCCTGTCTGTAGGCCTCAGGTTCTCTGTGATCTGAGCAGCTTAGACTAGAGGAGTATTTTCTCTGGCTAGCTTCTGTGAAGCCCAGAAGATTCTCCAGGCTACTCACTGGTAGGGTCAGGGGAAAAGCAAATATTTGAAAACCACTGGGCCGTATTATGTCTAAGGGCTGGACGAGCTCCACATCCCAGCCTCTTTCTCTGCGGCCATGAGCCTCTTCTCCTCCAGACTGACTCCAGAAGTAGGGCCACGTAGTAGCTCACGCGTGAGATCTGGCTTGGGAAAGGAGGCCCAAACCTCCCTCTGGTGGGAGAAGCTTCTAAAATTGCAGGCATGTTTCTGATCAGGAGTAGCCTTCTTCAGTTCTGAATATCCCCCAAACGCATGTGTGTTCCCTCCCTTCCTGGCATGCACGCACGTGCACACGCCCACACCTTCCCATCATCCCTTCGTGCGCAGACTATGAACAGCCTCTAGAATGCCAGGCTGAATCCTCAGGCCTGAGACTCACCGCTGCCCCAGGTGAGGGAAGATTTAGGGACAGACAGGGTCAGGGTGCTAGACGGGAGGGGTGCAGGTGTCTGAGAAAGCAGTGAGCTCATAGGAGGGTGTGTGTGTCCTGAGCGTGGGCGGAGCCAGTCACTAGTTGGGGAGATGGGTAAGCCCATGTGCCATGCAGGCAGGGTGGGTGGCTTCCCCGACAAATCACACATAAAGGTCAGAGGTGCTGTTCACAGTCATGACTCAGCCAAGTTGGTGCATCCTTGTCTGGTGGACAGTGGTCTGCCTCTCCCCGGCCTGGTTTTGGCTGAGTCATGTGGCCTTGCTGATACTAGGCGGACTCAGTCAGGAGGGGTGGAGAGGGGAAGAAAGGCCCAGACAAGGAAGCTGAGGTCCTGGGTTTGAATCTAACTCTGCTCCATAATCTTCCACGGCTGGCACTTCTGTTTAGGCCCTGACAACCCCATCTGGTAAATGAGGCCAGAGGACCCCAGTTCCTTCCAGCTGGGGCAGCCTAGGACCTGGATAGATGTGGTCTTCTGGGCAGTCAGAGCTCAGCTCTGTTCTGTGAGCAGGTCCTCTCACCTCCCCTCTCACCTGTAGAAGTCATGGGAGGGCAGAGGGAGCCACCGTGCAAACAAGGTGGTTCAGGAGTCTTTGGTCTGTATACCCCGTGGCTCCCTGTCGAGGGGGATCCTCCCAGAACCACAGCCAGCACCGTGCTGGGCGAGCACACCTACCACGTCTCAGACTCGGTGGTGTGGGGAGGCCGGCAGACTTGGATTCCCATTCTGCTGCCTTTCCTCCCTGGGTCTGTCCCCTCATCTGGGAAACTCGGGCACTCGTACTTCCCCTTGGAGTCCCATGGCGGTTCAGTATTTGTAAAGCGTTGCTGACACACCATCAGCTGGGAGATGCAGCAGCCTGTGCTGACATTAGAGAGAAGATAAAGACGAGGCCTGGTGGCAGCCCCGCTCAGGGAGGGGCGGCGTCCTGGGTTTCTGTCCTTGAAAGACAGTATAGATTCCCTACATTGCCAGTAAAAGTCAGGGCAGTAATTTTATCATTAAGTAGTTAAGGCTTAAGAAAAGGTCTTAAGTGATAATGTCGTTTTCTTTCAGTTGTTATGATTTTGAAGGATAATAGTTGAGAGAGAGACTTAAAATTCTGATACCCGTGCCTAACCTCTGTTAACAGAGTGCTGGTTTGAAAATGACCGGTGCTGCCAGAAGGGGCTCCGAGAGTCCGAGCTGCTTCAGGAAATGGGGTTTTAATCCAACTGGGGCTATCGGTTACCACCACTGTGGTGTTGATGCCCGGCCCTCAATCTCTGTGGGAGGTCATCCTCGGGGAGTGGGGCGCCTCCAATGGGACACTAGAATCGGCTTGTGTGAGCCGATGCTCAGCACCTCCTTCCAACTCCAAATTCCATGATTCCATATTGTTAGTTTGAAATGGGCCATAGGAGGAGGATTTACACCACAGAAATTAGCAAATGCTTCAAATCACGCAGTTGGGGCTGCTTTTCAGATTGAATCGCAAAGCATAGAGTTTAGGGTGACATGGCGAGTTGGTGGCAGAGCTAAGATGTGGACCCAGGTCAGCCTGTCTCCATTGCCAGCACCTTTGACCCCTACATCACGTTGCCTTCAGTCTTAGCACATCAAGCTGTGTGTACCTCGGGTGGCTTCCTTCCTTAGAATTCTGGAAGTGGAGTTACTCCATTGGGAAAGGCATCATGCTGGGCTTGAGGAGGTTTCCAAAGGCTGCAAAACCAGGGCTGCAGAAGAGGTCTCGGGCCACTCCCAGACTATTCCTTCTTTGCCTGTTTCCAGCTCTATGGAAGGCGGGCCCCTTGGGAGGACCCCGCCAAGTGGGTGATGGACACCTACCCCTGGGCAGCCAGCCCACAGCAGCACGAGTGGCCTCCCCTGCTGCAGCTCCGGCCTGAGGATGTCGGCTTCGATGGCTACTCCATGCCTCGGGAAGGGTCTGCGAGCAAGCAGTTGCCCCCCAGCGATGCTGAAGGAGACCCACTGGTGAGTCTTAGCTCCCCGAGAGACTCAGCTTTTACTGAGCACTTACTGTGTATTGGTTGTGATGCAAGGCATGCTGGGAAACAGAGACGGGACTGAGCCAGGGTATCACTTTGGAAGGCTGGACCCACACCAAGGTTAGTCACATTTTTGCCAACATGCTCTCTCATGATGTCAGTTTCTCACTACAGCCTTGAGCCCTCTGAAATTTGTTCCGGTGTGAGGTAAAAGGTTACGAATGTGATTTTTTTTCCAGCCTCAATGCTTTGCCCTCTGACTAGAGTGCTACCTTGATCACGTGCTGTCCTGCCCCATTCATCTCTCCCACTAGTGACCAAGCAGAGGCAGCTCTCTGTTGCTAAGGAGCAGAAGGTCGGGCCAACTGATCAGGAGCACAGGCAGGGAGAGGTCTGAGGGCACGGGGGGCTCCCAGAGGACAGGGCAGCCTGAATGCAGGTCCCAGGGCCAGCGACCTGAGCTAAGTCTGGGTAACATTGCCTGAGCTTTTTACTTACCCCCATCATTACGAGAACAAATAAAGGCCCTTTGAGAAGAGCCTGGACAGGGATGCTAACACTATAATTACAGTGTTCTCTGCCTACGTGAGACTGTGAAATTAGACCTAATAAATCGAAAACTCTATTAATGAAGGTGGAAGCACATATCCCAGAGCCTCCCACACTTAGGTGACCATTATCATGCCTTCAGTTTACCCTTGAGCTCCCTTGGCAGCTAAGACAAGAGGAGCAACAAAGCAGAAAATAGGACTTGCGTTACTTTTTTTTTTAAGTTAGGTTGTTTTTTTTTTTTTTTTAAGATTTTATTTATTTCATTTGACAGACAGAGATCACAAGTAGGCAGAGAGGCAGGCGGGGGGGTGGGATCAGGCTTCCTGCTGAGCAGAGAGCCTGATGTGGGGCTCCATCCCAGGACCCTGAGATCATGACCTGAGCCGAAGGCAGAGGCTTAACCCACTGAGCCACCCAGGCCCCCCTTGCATTACTTAATGAAAGAACATATTCATAAGGGATGCAGCAGGATTAAAAGACAGCTGACTTGCTATTCTTTCCCTGATGACTAATTGATTTGCTTGATAAATATCATCATCATCATCATCATCACTGCTGCTGTGACTTGTCTGCCATCCTTCTGACTGGCAGGAAGGAGCTGTGGTCCTGGGAGCTTTTCTTCAGCAGGAGCTATATTTTAAGTGGGAGTTACTATGTTACTATACACAACCTAATGTACAGCGTTTACAACAGTGGTTTTGCAGAAGAAAGGACCAGCCACATCCAACATGAATTATGGCTAAAGCCAGAGTCATGGAGATGTTTTTGTAGCTGCAAGCTCATGAGCTCTTTCCTTACATAAAAATAGAATTTAGGAGATCTCTAGAGGAAAACTTGGCTCCCTCGTCCCCAGAACCTCTTCTCTTATGCAGGAGTATTTGTGTCCCTGACTAAACAAGGGCATTTAGGTAAAGCCTGGAGCTCTTGGAATCGTTACATAGAACTCTCCCTCAAACCCCAGGTCCCGGGAAGTGAGCTATGCTGGGCAGTTACCCCCACGTAACAAATAGATACCTGGTGTTTCTCCCTGCCCAGGGCCCGAGGTCTCTTGCTGACCGGTCTCTCTCTCCCTCATGAGACTGAGACCTCTGGGAGAAGAGGACTGACTCGTTTTTGTTTTTTGTTTTTTGTTTTTTGTTTTTTTTCCGAGACTATACACTGTAAATACACTGGGGCTGTTTGATGAGTGAATAATCGTGGCTGCCAAGGATTGCCTGTTGTGCTTCAGCTCCACCTCTTACCCGGTGGTGGCTACACCGACAGGCCCCGCTGATGGTGGTTCTACGCCCTGGCTCACCCAAGGAGACCATGAGGCATCCTGAGGGGCAGCTGGCTGGGAAGCAGCTGGATTTCATGCCCAGCTGCTTCGCATCTTGGCCCTAGCTCAGAGAGACCCTTCTTTCTAACTTACTTGCTACATAGAATCAAAAAGACAGTTTACAGTTGCAAATAACATTCGTTCCTTCTTCCTCCTTTCACTGGCAAACAAATAACCAACAGACTGTAGGCAGGGAAGGTCTCAGAACATTCTTTAAACCTTTTAAACAAATGGTGGTGATGATGGCAGATCTCCTTTATTGAGAACTTCCTATGCGCCAGCCGCTGTTTTGCGGGTCTGAGGCTCCTCTTGTCCTTCGACCCTGTGAGACACAGGTGCTCTTGTTCTCTCTGCTCTGCAGAGGAGGACCTGCAGAGGAGGACCTGGGGGCTCAGATATGGAGGAAACTGGAGTTTCCTGCCTCAGCATCCAGGTGCCTCTGTGCTTTGTGGCTCTGCTTGTGGTTGTTGCTGTCCTTTACCTCCCCGTGGTGGCCTCGGCAGGAGCGGGAGCGTTGCCAGCTCCAGGCTGCCCTCTGGCCAAAGCCAGACATCCTCATGGGCTTGTTGCTCTCCAGAGGGGGAGCCGTGTGCCTCACTTATCAGCGGTGCGGAGGCCGCTGGACGCGGCTGGACGGGCATCTCCCCTCCGCCCGAGGGCTGTGCTTGGGTAAGGTGTGTCACTTGCAAATACAAGATAAATACTGGATTCCTAGAAGACTTCCTCTTTTGTTTTCTGTGCTCTGCCTGTATTCACTCAGTCCACACCCATAACGTGGTACGATAGGTACGATTGTTCTCATGGGGCCAATGGAGAAGCCGAGACACAATAAGGTGAAGTAACTTACCTGGGGTTATGTGGCTCCTAAGTGCTAGAGGCAGGATTGGAAACCTGGAAGCCTGGCCTGGAGTTCACAGTTTTGTTTTTTCATCCACGGCCTCTGCTGTGGGGTGCAGCCCAGGGTGAGTCTGGAGGACAGAGCAGGAGCCTGGAAAAGTCCGGAGGCGGATGGCTGCCAGGCCGAAAGGCGCTCACGTTCTCGCTCTCTCCCCAGATGAACATGCTGATGAGGCTGCAGGAGGCGGCCAACTACTCCAGCCCCCAGAGCTACGACAGCGACTCTAACAGCAACAGCCATCAGGATGACATCTTGGACTCGTCCCTAGAGTCTACTCTGTGACAGGGGCCAGCCATGGAGCTTGCCTGCCTCTCCCCTCCGTGCCCCGCTCCATGTGCGTCCCCTGCACCCCCTGAAGATGCCCTCCTGAGCCAGCCCCCCGGCCGCAGCGTGAGAGCTGCAGGGATACCCAGACCCCTCGTCCTCCAGCCTCGACTTGGGTGCGGGCCTCCCGGGCCAGCCGCCTTGGCACCGCTCCCTTCCACAGTGAGACCTGCACTATCTCATCGTTTATTTTCATTATCGTTTGCCTTGTTACCGTGACCTCCCTAAGACACTGAAGTTACTTCTCGGGAAAGGATCATCACCGTTGAAATGGAAAGGTTTATAAAGAAAACACACACACACACAGAAACCAAGAACCCACTTGGAAGCTCTGAAACCCAACAGCATCGTGCTGCGAGCTGCCCAGAGCAGAGAGATTGGAGCCAAGCTGGAAATGCGGGCAACACAGCTGCCCCTCCACACCGACGCCCGGGCTGGGTCTTGCCGTGGGCGCCTGCCTCTGCCTCCCCGCCTTCCCCGCGGCTGGCCATGGAGAGAGCTGGTGCTAAGAGCGCAGGCGCGGCCCGCTCCCACTCAGCGGAGCGCAGAGCACGGCGCGGGGACACCTTAGGCAAACGCAAAGCGCAAAGCGAAGCCCGCTTGCTGGTTTTTTTGGCTTTTTAAATGGTGCTCTCCTTCCCCGAGGGGTATTTTTGCCTGTTCCCGTTCAGCCACACCTCCCAGACCCGTCAGCCTCCGATCGGTCCCCAGCGTGAGTGGAACGTGCACGAGCGGATGGGGCCACGGCGCGGACAGCGAGTGTCTGTGTCCTCCTCCTCCTGTCTCCGTGAATCAGGTTTTTCTTTCTGCAAACACTGTGGCCGGTGAGAATGGGTCTGTTTTGAACTGGTTACCCCCTTGCAAATGAGGTTGAGTTTCCCCACCCTCTTCTGACTCTTTGATTTTGAAGATTTTCCTCCCCCCCCCCACGCCCCCCTTTGGTCAGAATCAGTCCTTTGGTGAAAGAAAGAACCGCAGGAGTTGAGTTTCGGTTTGGTCCTGCTGAGTTCTGGTTGTTTGGTTGTCCATCCCCACGGTTTTACACCTCGCGGGGCCCTGCTGGGGCGGGGGGCGGGGGGGGGGGCGTGTCCTTTCTAGGAGGACCAGGACCCCATCCTCCACGCGTGGGTGAGCCGGGACCTTGCCTTTTCTTCTCGTCCTCGAGGCTTCAGAACGCACATCGACACCTCAGGCGTGCCAGCCCCAACCTCAGGTGGGGTGCTGAGGTCACCTCGCACAAGACTTGCACTTTCCTCAGAACCAACGCGATGCAACTCCACAAGGGGCCGGCGGCCTCTCCCTTCCAGAAGCCCCGGCCTCCGTCCAGACGAGTCTTGCCTGACCTCTTCGGTGCTGACCTTCCCAAAGCAATGCCTTACTGGTTTTGTACTAACCGTGTTCATTTACGAGTGTTGTGCCTGCCTGGGGTCCATTATTCTTTTTCTTGTTTTCCCCATCAGAGCAAACAGGGCTAAAAAGTCATCTACTCATTAGGAGGACTCAAGTTGCTGTGACTTTTCTCATCCAAAAGACTCATCTGTGTGGATGCTTGACCATGGGTAAAAGAAAAAAGGAAAAAAAAAAAAAAGATGCTTTTTTTTTTTTTTTTTTTTTTTTTAAGATTCTTATCAGTCTCCAACTAACACTCTGCCTGGACAGTGATCTGTCTGATGCAGGAAAAGGCAAAAGTTCCAAGTCCACATGACATTGCTGATACACACCCTACTAGGATGTGTCTTCAACATACTGGTATTTCCTTTACAGAGAGTGGTATATCTGTAAGTTGTTAGTTTATGCTTTATGAAGAGAATCTTTATCAGGCCCCGGTGGGGGTGTCTCTGTTAACGATCAGGGTTTTTATTCCACCTTTCACATTTTCTATTTCTGAAGGTCTGTCTCTGTACATTTTTTTCTCATTTTCTTACCGCAAGAACTTGACCTGAAACTGCTCGTATGCCATTGGATGACACCACTTTCTTCCTCCTTAGAGGAAAAGGAGAATGTGTCCCCCTAGCTAGTGAATGGAAAAGCTCTCCGTGCTGTCCTTGCTCTCATCTCCGTAAACTCAGACTCTCTTGTGTGCAACCTTCATTAGCCATCTGGGTGTGTGAGTGTCGTCTTGTTCTGTTCTGGTGTTTTTTTTTTTTTTTTTCCCATAAAAACTTCAAACCATGAATTTAGCCTGTGACCACGGGCCACACCCTGAGCCTTCTGGTAAACCTGAAGAGTGGTCCTTCTCAATCTGTTTCCCAACGATGACCTTACACGCTCATACTGTGAATTTGGGAGGAGATAAAATGGACTTCTCCTTGGGGGCAGTTTTCCCAGTCACCTTGTGAGTAGACACCTGCTAATATTGTTTGAAACCCTCCTCCTTTTTTTTCATCTTCTCTGTCTTCTCCCCTCTACTACAGACTTCCCTTCTGCTGGGTCCAGGCTCAGAACTGAGACCTTTGTCCCTGGTGCTACCTGGCTAATGACCAGTGATTTCAAGTAGTGTAGCCCTTGTGTGATTCACAACTCTGTGTCCTTCCTAAAGTTTAGGGAAGCAGGGTTGTCTGATATGCACATTTCTAATTTCGGTCATATTTTACTTTAGTGTCACTCACTTTTGACAAAGTGACTTTGTACTCATTTAGGGCTCTGTCCGAAATGCTTCCAGTTTGCCTTTTTCTACAGTTAGGCTAATTTTGAAATGTATGAAATTCTATGCAACATTTATGTTGAGTTACCAATGGAAGCCAAAAGTCTTCTTCCCAAACTGCCAAGAATTATACAGGCCATAAATGAGATGGGAATATCTTTTAATTTAAGTTTGGGGGTGGGGGAGGGGTGGGACAAGGAATGAGACTTGCCTAGACCTTTGTTGTGTCTTGGGGACATTTTTTATTTCACTGTCGATGCTTCAACTTCGAAATTCTGTGTACTCAAATTTGATCATGGCGAATCTACTTCAAAAGGAAAATAATCCAACTTTGTGGATATTAAATGGAAGGTTTGCTGTTTTAATCTAGTTGTTTCCAGTGGAGCAGTTGATGAAATATGTCCTATAAGATGTACATTTTTTCATTGTAACATAGAAATTGTAAATAATCGATTAAAGTGCTGCATTTTGATGAATTTTTTCTAGCCATTTTTAAAGAGAAAACTAGGAATTGAGTATTTTGTGTACGGTATGTTTCCTTCCTCCTTCCCTCCCGCCCTCCCTATTTAATTTTCATTTGTCATGAGGTTTTTGGATTTGCCAATGATCTACTGGAGATCACGCCCCACGTCATAGAGAATAAAGCCGATGATTGTACCAGTCTTAAATTATTCATGATTCAATAAAATTGATGCTTATTTATTCAGATTAGTGGTTTGGCTTTTCTGTGCTCGAGCAAGTCCTCGTCGGAGTTTGACTGCATGGCGACAGCAACTGTTCTGGAGAAAGATATACAGCAGGGAGAGCCCCTAACTCTAGCAGACCTTCCTTTGTCACCAAGTCGTCTACATCCCGCCGCCGCCTCCTCAGTTTCTCCTCTTTTTGCTCCTTGTGTGGGGCTTATTGGAAACTCAAACCTTGGGACTCTTCTGAAATTTGGTGAGTCCTTGGCAATCCTGTGGGAATGCAGATTCTGATGGAAAGGTCCAGGGTGTGGCCCGAGTGTCTTGATTTCTAACCTCCTCCTGGGTGATGCCAGTGATGTGTGTCCTCCGCCGCGCTGGCAGCAGCAAGCCCCATTGGTGTCTGGGCAGACCGCCAACGGACTCCTTGGCACAGGCAAAGTTTTTGTTTTGTTTTTTTAATGTATTGAATACCTATTAATAGCCAAATTGCTTTCCCAAACGCTCCAGTATAATCCACAAAAGGACCCTGAGGAGGTAAATATTCCTAATTCCATTTTACAAGTGAAGGAAACAGGATCAGAGAAAACCACTTACCAAGGATCCTGTCAGCTAAGAAGGCTGGGAGTTGGGAGTTCCAGCCCCGTCTTCCAAATCCAAAGCCTGCCTCGCTGAGCTGCTTCTGATCTTAGGGGCCCCGTTCCACCGAGCAGCTGGCAGCCATCGCAGGGCATAGACCGTGGCAGATGAGATCACCTCTCAGCCTTCACTTTGAACAGCAACAACAAAAACTTTAAAGGCTTGAAGCAAGGCCTGTGGGTTCTCTGTGAAATAGACCCTCCACGGCTGACTCCGCTGCCAGTGATGTGAGCAGCTCAGCGCCTGTCAGGCACCACAGTGGCCCAGCCCGAGGGAGAGAGAATCCAGATGTTCTATAGAGGCGGTTTTTCCTGCCAGTCAGAAAGAACGAAGGGGAGCTGGTGCAATGGTTTGGCAACTAGATACCCTGAATTCCTAAGGTTTCCCATGTTGGGTATCTGTTCTACCCATTGCTACACAGTCTTGTTCTCATGTTCTCGAGGATATAGGATCAGCATAGGAAAAGGGCATGATGACTTCAAAACCACAGTATCCACTTCTAAAACCCACGCCCTTTCTGCTATAGTCTCCTTAGGTTGGAAAATTACCCTTTTTATTCACAGATAACATTATGTACTTAAGATAATCCAAAAGAATTCACAGACATTGGGACGCCTGGATGGCTCAGTTGGTTAAGCGGCTGCCTTCGGCTCAGGTCATGATCCCAGCGTCCTGGGATCGAGTCTGACATCGGGCTCCTTGCTCAGCAGGGAGCCTGCTTCTCCCTCTGTCTCTACCTGCCACTCTGCATGTGCTCGCTCTCGCTCGCTCTCTCTCTGACAAATAAATAAAATCTTTAAAAAAAAAAAAAAAGAATTCGCAGACATTATTATAAATAGTGAGTTGAATACATCAGCTGGATACAAAATCAATACATGAGAATCAACTGAACAGGGGCGCCTGGCTGGCTCAGTCGGTAGAGCATGCAACTCTTGATCTCCAGGTTGTGAGTTCAAATCCCACGGTAGAGGTAGAAGCTACTTGAAAAAAATAAAAATAGTCAACATCTTTATGCAGCCCAAGTTTAAGAATTTCAAAGGTACCAGTTTAAAAGCATCAAAAATACCTAATACCTAGGAATAAATGAAATATAAGATGGGCAAGCCTCCACACAGAGATGTATAAAACATTGTGGAGAGAGATTGAGGAAGACCCAAACACATGTGGAGATAAATACTGTGTTTGTGGATTAGAAGAATCAGTGTTGTGAAGGTGTCAGTTTTTCCAAAACAGACTATAGATTTGACGCAATCCCACTTGAAAGTCCAACACAGTTTTATGGCATTGACGAGATGATTTTGAATGTATTTAGAAATGCAAATGGTGAAACATAGCCAATGGGGAAGAAAACTGAGATTTCTCTAGCAGATACCAGGACTTAACTGCCATAGTCATTAAGACAAAGAACAGGAACCAAAAACAGTTCAAGAAGATAGACTAGACATTCCCCAAATAAACCCAGCACATGCTTGCTTTACTGCAGAGAACTGTAGCATCTCAGACCAAAGGACCTATTTCCTGGAGAAGGGAACTTGACCGAGGACACGTGACAACGGGATCCACTGGTTCCTACTGTCAAGTGGAGGCTGACCTGTCCTCTTAAAGACTCAAGGCACCAGCTTGAGAAAGTCATTCTGTGTTGGAGCACTGCTTTCCAGGAAATGGTACATGTTCAACCACTGGCCACTATTTGTTGCTGGGTGCCCAACAACTAGAACGCATAAGTCCGGGAACTGAGGAGGAGAAGCAGGAGTGGCCCCCTCCAGCAACCCACCTGGGGAATTTCTGGCTTCCTGCCCTACAACTTTAGGTTCTGTAAAATTAGAAGTGCCCGTCCCTGTGCGTCTGGGCAAGAAGGCAGGAGGAGGGGTACTTCCCTTCTTCCAGCACTTCTACCACTGC